TCAAGAGAGGGGAAAGATTATATTTTTTAACTACACTGTTACTGTTAGACTGTGTTTAGGAATTCCAAGTCTTGAGAACAATTCAGGACACAGAAGTCCTCTGGCGGCGTCCTTTGCAAAAAAAAAAAAATTAACTTGTTATTCGAAGCATAACCACCATAAACTGTATATTAGTGGAAAGGTTATGAAATGCACTATTCTGTAAAATTATTGCATTTAAGCTTGATCTAATCATAAACCAAATGGGGTGCAACAATTTAAAATGGACAATGTTTCTTTGAGCAAGTTGATAAATCAAATCTGACCGCACAAATAGAATCTCTTCACAATTTCAACCCTGAGGGGTTGGTCTTCAAAACTGTGTGGGGATTTTGTAAATTTCTTATTGGTTGCTTTGCAATTTATCTGTCAAGTTTGCTGATCAAAATGTTTTGGCTACACATTACATAAGAAGACTGTAGTTAAGATATTAATGCTTATTATGATATGAAAAAAAAAAAGATCCCTAAAAATTGAAGGTCTTGCATATCCTTAAGGAGGAGACTCTTGATTTTTTTGCAGGGACTACCATTTAGCACTGTTAAACATGCAATAACCACCTGTGATTGTCAGCCAAGTACAGATAATGGAGTTTTGGTGTTTGTTGTTGGACAACTCAAGGTACTGAGCCCAAAGTATTTATTTAATATTTCTTTGTGCTCACAAGGTAGTTACTGTCCACTTTTTACTCTGTTGTATCTTTAATAACAGGTTTGACCATGATTGTATGTGTTTGTTTCTTTTCCTAGACAGACAATGACCATCCTCATAGCTTCAGCCAATGTTTTCACTTGAGGCCACAGACAGCACAAATGAGAAATTATGTTGTTCTCAATGACATGTTCAGACTAGCTCTGCATCATGGGTGAGAAAGACAACATCCAACAAATAAAGATCATTTTTCTCAATGCACGTAAATGGATGTGGTCATCTTTGATCTAGTAATATATGTAAGAAATCAAGGATGTGCAGTTTTGAGGACAACAAAAGTAAATGCCTGTCCAGTACTATAGTATAACTTAAAACAATAGCGTTTTAAAAGCAGATTTTACTTGATGGTTACATACCAGCCAATCATTATTAACTATAGTCTTGGATAGTAAATAATTTTTTCACAGGTTCATTGACTCCTCTTTAACAACAAATGTTTAACTTACTAATTCCATATTGATGGCAAAGTTGTTGATGGAGAGACCAATATTTTGGGTGTGGTAATAGCCAACCATTGTACTACTGAGAACTTAAAGTTTCTGCATGCACCATTTGAAAGTTTTCATCATCCTTGAAGAATGTGAAAGTTTGAAATGATTCTTTAGTTTTCCTATTAGCTATCTTTTTAGACATTGCTGGCAGGGGCATAGTCAGCTTTTCCACTTGTTGCAGGCCTGTACCCTAAGAAAGCTCAATTTTCATTTCGAAATTTGCAAGCATTGTTTTATAATAGTCAGGAAGGTTGAAACAAAATTGTAGTCCTGGGCTCAGAGGACTATTGGCTGGCTATGCCCCTGGCTTCCTTGGCTTATGTATTATTTAGGTTTGCATTCAAAGTGTACTTTCAAAATAAAGTTTTGGCAAAGAAGGCTGTTTCTCATGTAGTGCATTAAATGCATGTAATTGTCTCAGTTGTCTTAAATTCCCAGGAAAGTAAAGGAAAAGGTTCGTCACAAAGAGGCCTTCAAGGAATCTAAATATGGAAACAGAACGAGTTCGTTTTTCTTCCACGTAAAGGTAGTGATAAAGATGAAAAAATGATACTCTTAAGCTGGCTTTTTTCTGCTGGCTTTGTTACTTTTCAACAGAAATTATCAAAGGACATGTATTGACGTAAGCAGGGATTATTGCGTGATGACTTTCCAGTGATTCTATACAATGTAACATACAGTTAACAAATAGATTCCAAGTTGCGGTGCGTCTGTTCAGTAATGATCACAGATGACGTCAAAATGTGGTAAGAACAAAAAAGTGGCACACGAGGCGCAGCCGAGTGTGTCATTGATGTTCTTGACGTCCTCTGTGATCTATTACTGAACAGACGCACGGCAACTTGGAATCTATTTGTTTTATATAATAACGAATTAAAATATACGGAAAAAGTTTTAATGATGACGTCATCTATACGTCTGTCCTCCAATAGAACATAAGTGAGAACCAATCAGAATGCGTGCATAACTGAGCTTATTATATAATAACCAATGGAATCACACGAAAATTAATGGGTGGGTTTTAAGCACGGATAGCCGTCTGCGGACATTATATGTTCCGCGCACTTGGGCCTCCGCTATGATGGCATCATTTAGCGCTTTGTGGGTTCTAGCTTAGAGCCAGTAACATACTATGTTATCATCCTTTAAGTCCATAAGTATACGAAGCGCGAAGACCGACGGTATACCGGAAGGCTCGAGTTCTTGTGGAGTTCTCTCCAAGTCACTTTTTTCAAATAAACAACGACGTCTTTCAAGTAGTGAATTGGTAGGAATCGTTGTGGTTTCTGGTTCATAGCCTGAGAGTATCATTTTGAGAATTCTTCGTAGCTGTCTCGCTACAGGTCTCGCTAGAAGTTGTAATCTAGTTGATAGAGGACTACGTCAGCTGTAGTCAACTCTCCCACCGACGCAGCACCACAGTTTCTGTCGAGAGAGGACTTGGTGCCGAGTTTTTTTGCCGAGGGAAACCAGAAAAATTTGAACTATAGGAAACGTGTCAAAAGATTTTCAAGGAGCAAATAAGAAACTCCAAACTATCATGGGAAAACAAGGACTGCGAATTCCACTCCCATGCATGTTCGGCTACAGTCTTCTTAATGTTATGACTGCATCATGATGTGTGGGAGTTCCTACGGAAAGTAGAACCTTGTATCTGCACTAATCAACGACACATGGCATATGAACAGTTTATTTCACAATGGTCATGATCTTTTCACTATGACACGTTTTACAATAATCTGTCTCAGCATCCAAGAGGAATGACACTCTATTGCCCCTATATTCGGTGCTTTATTTATTATCCTGACAAACCAACGCTTTTGTGATACGTTAGTACGATATATCAATGATTGCGAGTAAATTAATAAATACAATAAGTTACATTGTAAGCTGTTTAGCGCAATTGATCGGATTCCAATTAAAATACAAAAAAAATATGCACAGATTTAACAAAAATATAGTTCCTGTACATACAAACACTGTTAATGAAAATAAAATATCACATATGAGCACATTAGTCTAACTTATTTGCTGCCTTTTTCCCTCTTCAAAACCAAAGTTTATTGTTGTTTTGAATAAACACTTGGGTGTTTGATGAACGTCTAGGCGTCTCTATAGGTGTAAGACGAGTCAGCAGGAACAAGACCAACTGGGGAAAAAGAAAAGTCACGAGGAGGAAAGTGTTACCAAGTATCTCAACAAGTATACCTCCCACAAGTAGAGGAACCAATCTGCGTGACCGATCGTAACACTAAAGGACTCCTTTTTTATTTTTACAAAGCAGTGAGTGTGGAATGTTGGTTTTGAAATTCAACTAAATTAAATAAAGTTGCTTCCCAATCAAAATCTGAAACTGCGAGTTTTAATTCTCCGTCTAAATGCGAAGAAGGCAAGTTTATCGGAGGTCACCTGCCCCCCTCCCCTCACCTCTTCGCATACAAAACCGTTACTTTTTTAGACAAATCATCGCGTTTCTTTTTGGGAGAAGAATAAGGACCTGGGTTTGACTTACGTTTTTGTTTTCGGGCAAAATCCAAGTGTTCTCGTCCGAGAGGGGCTCCCGCCCCAGGCCTTCCCCACATCCTGTCCATAGTCTTCAAATGCTGAAAAAATTAACATGGATGGCGATTTAACCACTAAATAGCTTAACCCTCAGGGACGTATGTAATGACTCCTAAAGAAACTGAAGAGTGAAATTCACATGTGTCACAAATCTAACCTAAATGGCGTGACAGTCACGTACCTCTACCGACTTGATTCTCTGTTGATCTTCACTCTGTTTACGATTCTGATACCTCTCCCGCGCTTGAGCTTCCAAGTCAGTGTGATATTCACGGCTTTTTTCATTTTTCTGTCTTCTTATATTTAAAACCTGGCCGTAAATATAAATATATTTAAATTTAAGGTCAGTAGTGTCAAAAGTTTCAGTAAGATTTACCGTAAGAGCTCAGAGCCTTCGCCGTCTTCGCCGCAGTCGTTCATGTTGTCACGCGTCTCCGCTTCTTGTGTGACATAACGCAAATAATAATTCTGGTGGTGTGACAAGTCACCTAACAAATATGACCTTGAGATATTACTTCTTAAGGAAAGGTTTTTCTTGCAGGCATATGTGTGTACCTGTGATGTGACGTCTGAAGTCTGTTTCTTTTGAGCAATAATCTCCTTGGTAGTAGGATTATAACTTGGCTGACCGACCACACCCGATCGCAACCAAGAGGCAACGTCCTTTTCACTCTAAACAAAAACAAAAACACGATCACCGATGAGACGAACCCTTCGCTAGCAACGAACACCGTTCTTTTGAAGGTAACATTCGACCAAACACACAAAAAGCTGTACCGAAGTGTAGCTCGATGATCACAACGACCCCACACGAATCCCGCAGCGATTCATCTCAGAGAGTTTCCTTTCTATTCTTATTTTATTATTAATACGGAAAACGAAAATGAAGCAAACAGTATAACTGTATGTCGCGGCAAAAATCATTTTTGATAAACCACGCACAGTGTAAAAAAACTAAAAACTTAGTAAGACTTACAGTTAGCAAGTCTTCATGTTCAGCTTTGCGCCTGCTTCTACTCTCCTCGGACATTTTCTCTGTTTAAAAAAAAGTAATAAAAGGGAGTTTCGTCTCTGCATTCGTTCAATGAGCTTTTTTTTTCGGACACCGCTCTTAACTCAGCTTTACAGATTCTTTATTTTCCAAGACTTCGAAAGCCTCATATGCGAAGAAAGATTTCGTGTGAAAAGAATCATTTGAAATTATTAAGTGCATTTCGATAGAGTGTGGTAAAACTAAAGTAATCGCAATCAGAGCAAAAGAAAATATCACCAAGAGCCAATGAGTATTCAAACAAACTGACCAGGGCTCAGGAAAACGCCAACGACCAAGGAACAATTGCATCTAATTGGCAGGACAGGTAGAAAAAGGTTTGAAGATCCACAACAAACTGAAGTCAACCAAAACCAACATAAACCCAAATAACTCAGTTTCAGCTCTCAATTGAAAATTTCCTGATTAGTTGCCACGATATGCGCACCACGGTCTCCGAAAAACACTAGATAACAGACACTTGGTGCAAACTTACGTAAAGTAGTAAGAAGTTCCTGCTTGGCTTGCGGGTCTTTCTTGCCACTTGGAGACATCGACTGTGTTGGAAAAACACAAATTTAACATCAGCGCTATTGCACCCAACGCATTTAAAATAGCAACACATTACGTAATAAAAAAATGTACAAAGTCAATCAGGGAAAAGGCCAAAAAGGGATTTAAAATAGTTTTAATATATTTTTTTGGGAGTGTAAACAAGAGAAAGCAATGGAACAGAGTTGAGGGTTTCTGTTCCAGGACTTGGGATATGTCGCTTTCACTAACGTTATTCATAAATAGTCTTTCGAAAAAAAGTACGTTTCCAGAGACATCCACGTTTAAGTTAACATCTATGCGATCCTTTACCTCCTAAAGCCAAGAATAAATCAAGTGACATTGAAATGCACCAGACGACGCCCTGATTGTCACTCCCTGTTTCCTTTTCTTCATCGAGTGTAAATCAATCCACAAACAGACAATAGATCGAAATTAAACAAATAATAATGATATTAAAAATAATAGTAATAATAATAGAACATGCTCTCTCGTTTCACACCGTGACATCGAACATACGTACACTTGAGTCATGAGTAACCCGGCCTGCTGTTCGAGTTTGAATTTGTCCATCCGAGTTCTTAATGGGAGCTCCCGCACCAGATCTTCCCCAGGGGTCATAAACGTTACGCTGGTTCAAGGGGCTGAAATCGCGTTGCATTGTTTCTGCAATGAAATAAAAGATAAATCAACCGACATAATATGACTGTCAGTAACTGCAACTTATCTATAAACAAATCAACAAAAAATGCAGTACGAAATCAGCCTCGTTCCAGGATCTCCCTTATTCTCTACCCTTTCTCGCTCTCTTGCTCCACCAGGGGAAGGGGAGGAGGAGAGAAAAGAAAACTTGAAAACGAAGAATTTGGTATTTCAATAATCTATTTTTCTTTTTTTTTTTACAACCAATCAAGAAGACAAATACAAAATTTGATCTGGCAAGGCTTCGACTGATAAAACGAAGCAAGGAATACTTACGACCACTAGAAGTCTTAGTCAGTGTTTGTGCTTTCCTTGTTTTCAGTTTTCCTCCCTTGTCGACATTAGGGGCCCCGCCTCCCGGACGGTTAGCTTCAATACCAATACCTTCCTGTTGAGATTAAAACACAGATTAACTTGAGCTTCGCTAAATTCGCGAACCACCTTTCGAAGAATCGACTTCCGCGCGTAAGAACTCTGTCACCGAAAAAACCTCTTTTTCATGAAAGAAGATAAATAAAAAATTCGACACCTCTTTGACTGCTGTACGATTTTCTTCATTTGATAAGTTGACACTGAAAATAATTTCTAACATAAAAAAGGAAGCCTGCGGGAATAAGTTCTTAAGATCGCGTAACTAGAGGATATGATCACGTCCTGGTATATAACATGATGAAGAGCACATAATGTTACAAGATGTTTTATTGTTTATCTCACGATATGGAGTCAGACTATCAATATGAATCGGTTATACATACCAATTCATTCTCTTCCTTCTCGCGCACAGGCTTAATCATTCGTCCTTGTCTATCAAATTGTGGGGGGTTTCCATGACCGCGACCCCAGGGATTATACTATAATAGAAAAAGAAATGGAATAAAAACTCAAGAATACTCCTGAGAAAATGGGAAGGACCAGTGCGCTAGTAGCGCTAGGCGTTACTAATGCCTGGAACGTGGGGAGGTGGGCTGCCCGGGATGCACACATTATAATACTTGGAGCCCAGGCCACCTTCATCGAAATAGCTTGGAAGGCCCTGGAGGGCAGATTATTGTGGGCCCCTGTCCTACAGACCCCAAAAAAGAAATTATATAGTAGCTTCTGATGAAGATGAATCGTGAAGAAAGCTTTGCCAGAATCCTTACACGGTAAGTGCAGTAATGGGCAAACAATTTTAACTACATGTAACATGAACAGAAATATGTTATTTTTTCTCACCTGAGGATTTCGATCATCTGAAAATTGAACAAAAAAAAAGGTTAATTTCTCTCCTTGAAAATAATCTTTTAATTAACAGCAGAGGTAACAAATTTTGTTTCAAGGCCTAGTTCAGGTTGTTCCATATTTTCACACTCCAATAATAAAAGGCACACTGAACGGCAGCTATTGTGCAGGATGGAATTTGAAGGTTGTCCCATGTGTCTTGTCTGTCTGTTATGGATAGCAGACTAAGTACAAAATTTGTCTGACAAATAGCTAAGGGACAAACCATTAAGACATATATGCATCATAATTGCATCATTGATCATGAATCACAACAGTACAGCTGATTTGAGTAACAGAAGAAATCACAACAAGCTTATGACAACTCAGACGAAAACTACTCACAACATGGCCTGGGAAGATGCAAGTGATTAAGTTTATAGTTTATAGTTTAGTTTTGATTCTGATTAGTTGAGAAATTTTGGTGGATTTTCTGAACCAATCAAATAGCAAATACAAGGCTTTCCCTAGTTAATTATTGAAATTCAATGGAAAATTGCTCAAGGACGACTGTGTCTATAATAAAAATTGGGGATTGCAAAAAGACACAAACCCGTCTCATTCAAGTCAAGGGTTAATGGATTCCTGCGTTGCCCTTTTCGAAGTTCTTCAATATCTTTTGACAGCGACGTAGGATAAGCAGCCTTAACAGTTCCTAACAGGAAATACAACAAATTTTATACATCACAGAGGAAAAAAAATAAAAACACCACAAATTGCATGATTTATTCCCATTTCTTTCAATTTGGTGCGATTTCTTTACACGTGCAGTTCACCAAAAAACTGACATAGAAATTTATTTCTGATATTAATATGAACCCAAATTAGCACTAGTATGGTTCATGTTTATTGTTTTTATTGTCAGTATCAACATGTACATTGCAACAATAACAATAAGATTTTGATTGGCAGAGTTACAACAAAAAGGGGCCAATAGGAGGTTCTAGGTACCTCTTTCTAGTTCCTCTTGTTTATTCTCTTTCTGCCTCTTTCCTGTAGTTATAACCTTACCCTAACCCATGCAGACTGAAGAGGACTGAAAATCAACAATGCAAATAAACTTTCATACCTGAGCCTGTTTTGCGTGGAGCACCAGCTCCTTCTCTTCCAAATGGATCTGTCTTCAACTACAAAAAGAAAAATCAGAAGTTAATTTTTTCTAAACATTTTTGCATTTCTTTTACTAGTCATTCTAAAGTTTCTCAGTCCCATGAAGGTGAACCAGTGAGTGTTGTGTTTTCAATCAATATCTTTCTGACTGCAAGGAACTTAAATCAATGTAACTCAAAGCAGATTTCAATATTTTAATAAAAGCTCAGTTACATTAAACATTAACTTAAAGAAATTTCTTTCAAGTTAGTTCATAATTCATTTTTTGCTAGAAAATAGACAGATTTTATGAAAAGAGAAATTCAGTGTTAATCAGTTGTGGGAGTTAATTAGGGCTCACGCACATGCTGAAGTTCATCCTCTTTGCTCTTTTCCCGTTGAAGAGTCTTCATATTTCTTGAACCTTCAATCATTGAGTCTGAGAAAATAACAGAATAAGATGTTTTAAAATGAACATTACTGTGCAAGACATTTTTAAATAATGACAGTAAATCTTAAAAATAGCTTATCAATACAAGTAACAAAAGTTTAACAGAGAAAGTCAACATACCTAGGTCTTGCCTATATCGTTCATCTCTTCCTGCATATCTCTGAAACATGACATGATAGTTACTGTTGTCAGATTTGCATTATTGACTTCAAAAAAATAATTGCTTCTTATTGGCTCTACCCATGTAAAGTAAGTTTTGGTCTACTTGTGTCTTAAACATTTATTGTCAGTAATTTTTATAACATTCATCATGAACTACTTTAAAAAACAGTCTAATAATAACAATAATAACAATAGACTGTACATTCACCACTTGAAGTTGATTGCATATTATCAAATTGTCACACTCACCAGGTTTGGATCAACATTAGCTTTGGATGCATGCCTTGGAAATCTCAGTTCAGGATCAGCACGGAATCCTGCAGCAACACGCCCTGATTCTGTTCTGTTTGGAGCTCCTCCCCCACCTTGGCGTCCTCCAAATGGCTGATAAGGCTGAAAAACAAACAAACTTACTATAGCTTATGGTTAATTCGTTTGAATTTGGCTTTTTTCTTTCTTTCTTTTCACTTTTTCTATGTCTAAGTTACTGCAAAAGGCCTTGCTGGTAAAACTGTCTGTTTACTTGGATATAAAACATTACCTACACCTAGCCATCAGAGTTGCACTCTAAAATTCATTAAAAAGCACCATGAATTTTCTTCCTGTTTAGGAAGTGATAAAAAAAGAACTACTGTAATCTCCACATGGCAACACTATTAACTCAATCATATAAGACAATTTGTGGAAAGCTAAAGACATCAATGAATTTAAAATATTAGCTTTGATAAGTTTCTGTATATTTTTAACAATTCTGATGAAAATAAATCTCAGTAAACAAAGTAATTCACAAGTGTTTCATCTTTTATGTCTGTACAGTGGAATTCTCCATTGAGTGTTAAGATTAATCCAGGAATGCATCTGTTTGATTTCCTTTGCTCTGTAATTCCTAAAAAAATGACCTATGCTACATTTTTTCAACCAATCAGATAAAAAACCAATGTGAACTTAGCCACTAGTATTCTCCCATGTCTCAGGCAATTTGCTTGCTTTTAACTTGAGTTCCCATAAGCTCCTAGAGATAATTTCTTTTTGCCTGATTGGCCTTTGAGTGTACTTTGGTTTTTTTATCACAACACTAAAGCAAAATGTTATCTGAAACATGTATGTTTCAAAGGTTAACCTATTGACTTATTAATCCCAAAAAACTTAAGAGTAAAGAAATACCTCTTGAACAAGGTTCTTGATACTTTTTGTTCTTTTTGTCTCAGGCTTTTCATCTGTGCCAGACTGCAAAAATATCAAATTGATTTGAAAAACACAATGTGCACTATCTCATTAATAATAATTGTGATACAAAAAAAGAGAATAAATCATCATTATGATATTACATTAGTAGCTGGCAAATAGTGTATAATTAAAAATTTCTGTGAGACAGTCACTGAGTAGCTATTTGAGGAACCCCAGGTAGGTGTAAATATAAAGGGCAAGTTTGATCAAGGAGTGAACTTGCAGGGCAAAGTTAAAATGCTAAGGATGAAGGCCTTGATAATCATCACCATATTCAGGGGTTGCACAATAATTAAATTTGAACATAACCCTTACAATCTTGGATCTTAGGAAATGGCACCTTGTTACTGGAGCCGCCTAAAGAGAAAATGTCTTCTATGCTTGGTGCTTGCTACATCCTTTTATCTCACTGAACCGATAGTTTGCATGCTGAATTGCATGCTATTCCATCATTGATGATTTTAAATTCCATCATTGATGATTTTAAATTCAATCTTAAGACCTATCTTTTTAGTCAGGTTTTTCTCTAACTGATTTAGACCAGAAATTTTATTTTATTTCAGTTTTTATGAGTACCACTTGACCTGATGTGTTTTACTTTATTGTAAGTCTCATTTACATTTTACATGGTATACTTAGATTGTTGTATAATAGTTTTGTAGGTGAATCATTGTAAAGTGCTACTGATCATTTCTATGTAAATAGTACTATAGAAATACTCATATTATCATTATTATTTACTATATAAATACCATGCTAAAAACTATTAAAACTATTAAACTAAACTATTAACAAAATGACAAAATTGATTCTGTTCTTTCTAAAACACTTTATTTACCACATGAAGTGAACTGATGGTTGTTACCTCAGGCATCTGAAATAAACCCATAACAAGGAAGTTTTGTTAATATGGGACACCTGATTTTAAGTTGTTGCTTATATGCAACACTTGGCCAGCATGTTGAGACAAACTTTAAAATGACTGATTTTTCTTGGATGCCAGCCAGATCTTTGAATTTTTACCACTGACAACTATTGACCAAAAATATTGTAGCAGCCGCCTTTCTGTGTGAAAGGGGATGCAAGAATGCAGAACTACAACTCATCAGTCCAACAAACCAAACAGCATTTATTTAATCGAACATCCACAGTTTGCAAGGAATTACAGTCTGTATAACAAGGTAACAAATCCAGAAATGGCTGTAAGAACGGTTCCGAAGACAGCTGTCAAAGACTGTGATGAACTGTAGCAAAAACGAAAGGGCTTCAGGTGAAGCTACAAAGCACTAGTGATGTTATCACGTTCTTCTTTTTAGCACAAGGAGCTAACCAAGATCCTGTATATGAGCTAAGGTATGACAGGATATGTCACGCAATACGACTGAATGACTGAGAAGACGTTACAAATATCATTTCTTGAGAAAGAAAACCTCAACCCTAACCCAATAACTAAAATTCAACAGCCATTACTAAAACTTTTACAATCACATCATATTTGCAACAACAAATTATTCATTACTAAGGTTCTAAAGAACCACAAAATGATGAACAAGTGATACAACTTACAATAGGGGCACCTCCTCCTGGTCGTCCCCAAGGGTCATAGTTCTTTAGATCTTGTAAATCCTACAAGTCACACATACAGGTACATTAAGTATAAGGTGTTTTTTACAAAGAGTGCAAATGAAAATTTGTAATACAGTATGATAGTTACATCATTTAAAAAAACTAATCAAATTATAAGCTAATTAAAACAACTATACCCTTCTCTTCTCTTCCAGTTCTGCTTGTCGCTTTCTTGTTTTTTCCTCCATATGTCTTGCTAAAAATTCATCTATTTGAAAAAATAACTTACAATAAATAATGATTTCACTAAAAACTCTTCTCATTAATAACCAGTTAACTTAATCTTTTTTTGTTACAAATAGATAAAGAATAAAGTTGTTACCTTGAGTCGTTGCTAACTTTTTGTTTTTGAAGGTTTCTTTTTCACTGAAAGACACATAAAGTAATATCAGCTGATAATAACAAATAAGTTATCAAAAATTTTAAAAGAAAGGTATCACTTACGTTCTCTCCTCCAACCACAGAACATTATTTGGTCGAGGTCCAGGAGATGGCTTTCCAACCTTTGTTGCTGCTTCTGTTCCATAAAGAAACCCAGATGGATTATTACCATCTCTCATATTTGCTTGACGAAGGACTTCATCTGTGCCGTAAATCAACTTATTACTTGCTGATCCACCTGGTACCTGAAAAATTATTACAAAATAAGAACAATAACATTATTCTGTGCTCCATGATGCAGTGGGTAAACAATTATTAGCAACAATATCATCATGGTTCTCCCTCTTATGGTCATAAACACAATTTACTGTGTGAAATCAAGCATTGTACAAAATTTCAAATCATCTCTGAATTAATGTACAAAGAATGTCCAAGCTGCAATGTATGTAAGAGAAAAGAAAATAAATAGCTGGTGTACCTTTCCTCTGATGAAATGTTGTCTCTTGGTGTATTTATCATTGGATGTACTTGTTTCAAATGAAGAGGTAAGCCCTAATTCATAACCTTGGTTGTGGGCATTTTTTAAATGATAATTCTTGCTTGATGGTCTGTATGTGTCCTGCATTGCTTTAGGATTTGCCTTTTGAGGCTCTAGTGGGAAAACTGAACACAATGCAAACTATACATTATTAAAATGAAAAACAAAAACTTGTCACCACTAACATTAAGTAATTAAATTTAGGTAAAGTTAGCTATGAGGTTTTAAAATGTGTTTATTTTCAACAGTCTTGTCCCCTCTGTGTCATAAAAGTTTTTCAAGGATTGTATGCCTATACACATTACAGGGTTTGATTTAAATAATTAAAAGTAGATTACCCACCAACATACATTGAGGCTAAAAGAACTAAAAGTACTTGCACATTATTTACTATAAGTGCAGGTCACAGTGCCTTTTGTCATCAGTGCTGGTGCAATTAAATGTAGATTACTGAATGACATACATTGAAGCTAAAAGCACTAACAGTACATGTGCATTATTTATTTGAAGTGCAGGTCACAGTGCCTTTAGTCATCAGTGCACATGCAGGAAAAATCATTTTCTCTCTTACCAGAAGAGCTACTTTTTTCTCTTTGGTCTGACCCGTACACAAGCCCTGATCCTGATGTACCACCAATTATCTTTCCATTATGAAACCACTGAGTTTTATGGTGATGATAACCCGACTCAAATGGGGCTGGCCTAACTTGATCCCTATCAATCAGTCACGCACAGATTGATTTATTTCAAATGTAAAATATTTATAATTGCAGCTTGTTGAAGAATAAAATTCTGCTCAAGTTGACTCTACCTACTAGACCTGACCAATGAATTATTATTACTAGTTATTAATATCCCAGTTTTTATCAATCAAAATGTTTAGAAATTCAATCCAAATACATTCCAAGTTCTTCCATCTGTTACTGTGAGCCACCAGGAGTAATCAAAGATATTTACACACTGATCACATAATTGAAAGGCTCTTAATTTTCAGTGGTAGTCAAAGATAGATGAAAGGAATTACTCTGATCATGAGTGACTGTTACTTCTTTGTCAAAGAGATCAGGCTACAGTGTAAATGTTCTGATGTTTGTTACCAGAAGAGGAAAATTTCTTGAATTCCCTTTGATTGTTAAGAGGGTTCCAAGATGTATCATAAAATTATTCAATCATATGGTACATGTGGATGTAAATATAGAAATTTGTATTAAATCCAAAGTTCAAAAAGCTGTACTCTGGTGCAAAAGTATAGAGTAAATGAGTTAACTTGGGTCATTAATAAATATTGGTCTGAAGAGTTACTTTTAGTGAAGGCAGAAAGCTGCAACCGATGTAAAGAACGACTGTCACTTGAAAAAGAAAATATAGCCTCACAAGCATAATCAGTGTTGTGTAGGACTATTGATGAAATATAGCCAGTTACGTGAATGGAATGTGAATAATTTTCCCGTGGAAATGTCATTCTAACCGCTGGAAAAACAGCCTACAGCAATTGAATTTTTCAAAGCTGTTTTGATCAACAAATTCCCGACTCGTCACTCACAAAATTCCGATGAGGCTTATCGGATAGTAAAGAATTGTTATGAATATTAGTCTTGCAGTGTTGTTTAGAGACAGGCAGATTACAATTAATCTTCCGTACTCTATAAATATTTGAGTTTAAGCCGACTAGCAACATTGTGCATATTTTGGAAAGTTGAATATAGATAGTAGTCTAAGAAGAGAGGCCGTTCTCGAATCAAAGATCACACTATGAATAGAAGCTCGTGTAATATATGTCATGTATATGTCTTGAGTGAAATATGTCAATGATCCTTCATTCTTGTCACTAAAGTACATTAAAGATTAAAGAGAAAACGAACGTTTTCTCGGACGGTTAAGTTACCTCGTGAGCTCAAGCCTGATTTCACATTGGTGGCAAATAAAATAAATTTTCTAGCGCAATACTATTCGAAAAGGAACGATAACTATACTGCACCGACGCAACCCGCATTGCTGGCGTTAAACTGTACGCGACAAGAAGCTAATTTCGCGCGACCTTGAATCGATGATGCAATGCTCTTTTCAACTTCTTCGATAGGTAAAGTAGATCCACAAAGCTTAAATATCCTCTTAATAAACCATAAACTGAACAAAGACACTTACATTAGTCGCTGTTTAGTAAAGACTTGGAGCAAATTCCTCGTGCCTTACATTTGGAATAAACACCTTTCAATGAAATCCGCCAAAGTCGTTGTTATGGCAACATTGAAGAAGCCAAATGACAAATTATTGTAAACAAGTGCGGCAACTAATTGACTTTTGAATCAAGTTCTGACACAATTCGCATAACAATGAAGAAGGTACAATGAAGAAAAACAGTCGATTGCAAAGCTAAGCGGGAACCCCAAAACAATCTGAACTTGCGCTAATAGGCAATCTTTCAAATTTTGAACCCCAATGAGATAAGTCAAAAGCGGGTGGTTTCAAAAAATTAAACGAAGAGACACTAATGATGAGCTTAAATCTGGCTAATTACTCATACATCTGTTATCTATAAATCTTTTTGTTTCATCAGTAGTCTATGGTATCTTACGAAAATTGAACGCCCTCCAGAAATATCTTCTTTTGTCACAGGCTCGAAATCGAGCATAACCCAGTTTAACACAAGTAGCCAAAGAGAGAGAGAAAATATCCGTAATTAGCTTTCTGGGGCTATCTTGAGCTTCCCAAGACCCTTACAATTCTGTGCAAGAAGAGTTTCTGTCCAAATTTTTATGTCAGAGAGTATAAGAATATTCTTACTCAATTGTTTTACATGTACGTGGATTCTCGACCCACTCATCCATATACTTACCTTCAATAAATCACTTTTGCGCGAAGAAGTAACCCAATAATTTCATTACTTAAACTTGCACTATCTTACTTGCTGCCAGTAAGAAGTACAGCTTAAAACGATATAATAATTTGTTTCAATGCAAACCAGACATGAACATACTAATGCCAGGTCAGATGTTAAAGTCAAACTCCCCAGGACATTGTTCGTCACCCGCCCTTTTCTAGACCTGAGTAGAAATTGAACCCTACTTATATGTTTTAGTTTAGACCTTCAATGAAAACAGTTTCCCTTTCGGGAGCAGTAACCCCTTAAGCTGGCATAAAAAGGGTTACGTCAAAATGTGTATTTCGGCTCCATACTGTGGAGTACACAAGCCGCCCCTGAATTTTTTTCTTTTGCAAATAGAATCCGATTAAACCAAGTTTGGTCCAAATCGAGTCAGAAACGGTTTGATATTAAAAATTAATGATTTAATTACCATGCACTGAGTTGACGTGGAACAGAGTCTTGCAGTCCTGTGGACTCCTCCATTGATCTCTCAATCTCGAGGGTTTTACTGAACGATTTGACACAGGATAAAAAAGAGACGAACGAAGAGTTTCTCCCTGAAACAAAAAACGAAAAACAAACAACAACGGTTCATTTTTGGAGAAGGGTGGGGCTGGGGAGAGGGTGCACTAATTGGATTTACGAAAATACTGGTTCACGATGATTACCGCTGGGAACATGGGTAAATAAAACGTTCCCACAAGTAAATAGGCACTCTTCTTATAATCCAAAAATTAAGTTCAGTGACACATCAAGTTCAATTTCCTTAAGGGCTCGTCTTGTTGCATTCAAACAATCTAATGGCTTTTCTTCCATCGATTTTAGTTCATTCTAAGCTGACTTTTTCTATAGATTAATAACTCCAATATGATTAACTATTACTTCTCCTAAGAAAAATAGAGTTACGGATATGAAACAACCATCGAGACCAAATCGCATCGAAAAGGTCTTCTGCTTCTCTAATTAAATTTAGAACTGTTTAGAAATGTACATACCGAACATAGCCGTTTAGGAATAGGAGAACCCCAAATGTTGTTAATGAAGACATAGTCGGGTGGAGCACTGAACGACCTCATTCAAAAACTATCCACAAAATGCCGTCCACTTTTGCTGCAATTTTCCTATCAAATTATTAAGCCCACCGTAAATTACTTATTTGATATTTGTGATATTTGATATTTGTGATGATAAAATTTGAAAACTTATTAAAGGATACTAATTACAACGTCATGAATTCCTAATACAACTTATTAATGAAAAGGAGTATTACTTCATAATCACAATCATGACGTCTGTAAGGAGACAACTGTCTCAAGTAATTTCATCTTTACGATGGGGATTAGAGCTTAGTGGTTTGTGGGGTCGTGTTATGATGAACATTAGTTACATAAGTGATACTTAAAAGCCGACATACATGTCTAGAAAAGTAAAAATTTTGCCGCCTATCATTTCAGTTTAGGGAACTGTGCATCTGATCATCATCATCATCGTCGTCGTCATCATTATTTTTGAGAGAGAGGTAGCGAAAAAAATAATCTGCACAGACAACGACGTAGGGAAGAATGGTTATCAAAATAACATTTCCACCCCCGGCCCCATCCAATAGAATGATAATATTCGCCCTCCCTAACCAGTGTACCAGATGACTTCAAACATTGTTGAATTTCCTTTGAGTTTGGAGCCATTCTCAAATGAGTGCGTAAAGTAATCCGGATTGCTTTCTTTCGTTTGTCTTTGGAAGTGCTTTTAGTTTACCTCGAGTTGGTAAGTGCGTGTACCCACGATGGGGTCCAGACCTCTCACAGGCTGAGCCAAGAAATTCAGTAATAAACGCCAATCAAACATGATCACTGATGAGTGAAAACAATTTGGTGATCATGTAAAGCAACCAAAGCCTCACTGTGTCCAACACATAAATTCTCCCACTTGCTGCTAAGTAAGCGTTCATTAAAGAATTCAATTGTTCTTAATTAAAACGGAACATTTAATTAAACTCAATGAAACACATCTTTAAGGAACATTTCATTCTCTATATTAAACTGTTCTAATGAGGCCTTAAACTTCTGTTTAAAATATAAAATCTAAAACCCAAGATTTTACTTTTTAAACAACAGTTTAAGGTCTCATTAGAAGAGTTTTATATTTTTAATTATGCTGGTGAAGGACAACATGAACAGATTATTTCATTCTCTCTTTAATGACATCACGAATTCCAACAATGGTGGGCATTATCATATTAATTTAAATAACAAGAAATTGAATATACTGCAGTCCAACAAAAGATAACATTCTTTTCACACTAATACTACAGAGAAAGATTTAGGATAAGCTATGATATTCAGTACAATTGCACAAGGACACCTAGATACCATTATCCCCAGCTTAACTATACAACTGTCAATTAATTTAATGGTATTTAGAAAGCAAAAGTTTAAAACCGCAATTATGGAATCTAATTCCCAAACAATTCCCAACCAATTGACTTATGCTTAAATTCCTGTAAAATGCAGACCTGTTTATCAAACTAGATTTTGTATTACCAAAACTGTATAGCCTGATTCATAAGCCTGAACACAGTTGCACTCTAGTCCTTTTACTGACAAGACAAAGGCACTTGGGAGCAGCTTATTCCTATCAGTTTGTTCATAAGTTTGAATGAGTTACAAGTATCAGTCTCTTGTTGACAAATAAGCCTTGTACAGATCGTGCTTTCCTCCACAATTTTGAAAACTAGCCCAGAAGCTCTTATCAAAGGTGATCACATAGTTTAGAAGCTTCAAAAGGCGTTTATGATTTCTTTCAGAACACTAGATTGGAAGAAAGTGTTTGTGAAGCCTACAGAGAGTTAGTGACATATTGGTTGAGAAACTAGTAATTGTATAACCAAATACTGACTTCACTGTTATCATCAATTAAAGCCTTTATATTTGACTGGGAAAATAGTCTTTTTCATAACCGTGCTAACTCTTTTTGACTAATACTGTTAAGTTGGCATGTTATTCCATATAAACCAAAGTCTGTACACTGTACATGGACTGTATTATAGCATAATCATCATCCTTATAGCTGTGTTGTAATATGTTATTTCATTATTCTTTCTTCATAAGCAACCAATGGAGTCTCTATATCAGAATATTCCAGACAAGTCCCATAAGCAACTGACTATATGTAATTAATACATTGATTATTTACAGTTTTATTAACAATTATTATTACTATTGTTAAAATCAAGATCAGGGAAAAAAGATGACCCTGAACTCTTCCTCTTTCTCAACCAGTTGTGCTCTGTTCACACAGTATCTAATCCAAGTCTGTTTTTTAACTTCAACCCTCACTGACTTAACCTCACCCAACATTATTGATTATTATTAATTACTTAGTGAATACATGGCAGATGTTAATAATCAAAGCGACGTTCTCTCCCATATTCTAAACCAGGTTTTACAACATCCACGTAGTCCAAGTCCAGGTCATAAAACTCACTTAAGCTGTCACCATCATCATTTCCTGCCATTTTTGTTATAGATTCCAATGGAATTATTTCATAATCCTCCAGTACAAAGTCAATTTCATCCCTTGGTGTTCCATGCCAGCTGCGACTCAGTGGATGTTCTTCAGTTTGTCCATCTGGTTCTGTAAACGATGCACTTTCTGCACTGTCTAACCCATCCTCACTGCTACCAGGAATTGTGGGAAGGGTCAGTTGGCCACCAGGATATGCACAGCAGCTGATACTGCGACATTTCTTCATGTCTCTATTGGCTTCAAAGGGAAATTGATTGATTGTTACTTTCAGACAAGTGAAAAAAAATTTAACTTTTGAATTACATCATACATGACAGTAAATAAATATAATAACTGTTCTCTAAATAAAATAATAACCAAACAAAAATTAATGTCATTTTTCAAAATATTTTAACTTGAAATTCTTGTGGCAAGTATATTCTGGAAATGATTATATGGTACTGAACCTTTGAAGCAAAAGTTACTAAGGAGTAAACAGCAGCTTAATGGTTCGATTTTTTTTTGCTCCTGATACAGTTTCTAGTTTTGTGTAATGTTGATTGTCCACTGAAAAATATGCAACATTTTCACTCATGTAGTTAGTGGCTATGTACAATATACCCACCTGGATGTCATGTGAACACGTTTTCTAAGTTAGATGTTAAATTTGGTGTAATGATACTCTACTGCATAATATACAAATATTGATATCATTATTATCATTAGTAACATCACTGTTGCGATAAAAACTATAATTATCAGTATTACTATTAGTGTTATCATACAGTAAAAGGTGTTGCTAAAAAGACAAATCTGAGCCAAACAGAAAATAACACATTAGTGCATTGGAGTTTTTAATTAGTAAAAAAATTGCCGTTACAGAATAAATGAGATGTCACTGCTAGCATTTTTGAAGCTCACCTGGAACATCAATAGCATCTTCAACAGCAGTATTAAACCCAAACAGGTTATCACTGTGAAAACTTGACCATTCCTTACCATAGGATTTGTATTTCAGGGTTTGGGTCCTTAAAAATTAAAGAAAAACATAACTCACTTTTCCACTGACATACATCAATCATAAAGAGAGACTGCTTTGGGGAGATACACTATGCTGAGGGAGTGTGTATTTACACACACACACACACACACACACACGCACACACACACACAGTGCACAATAAATGGAAATGTAGGAGGATCACTGGCACTAATGGCTTCCTATTCTTGATGAGTAGAAGTTGTTAATGTGACTTAAGGTTATTAAGTGGATGAGAGCCTTTGGTTCTACTCCAAAACATAAAAAGTACCAAGTTTCTCCTGGATGGGATGGTTTTTAATAACAAGTGACACTCTGCATTTTATCAGATTTCCCTGATAGTTTGCAGATCCCATTTAGACTTCTGCATGGAGAGAGGTACTATGAGAGTTAATTGTTTTAACCCTTTAACTCCCAAGATCTTATTAGTAATTCTCCTTACTATCTCCCATACAGTTCTTGTGATGTTAGTTTGGAGGATTTAGAATTGGATCATCTTCGAATCCCCTCACTGATATTTTTCTTGATTCTCATAACTTGTCTGCTAACATTGTTTTGATATTGTAAGGAGAAATTCTGTCTTGGTCACTCATGGGAGTTAAAGGGTTAACCAAGAAACACAAAGGATCTTAAACACAGCTAAATCCCACAACTCCTGATAAAAAGACTGACATCCAAACTATTAAGTCACCCTGTCTCTCAAAAGTTTACAATCTTGAGAGGTAAAGCCCCTCTTTTCCTTACTTTTCTGCAGATGGATACTCTGCACTGAATGTTTTTGTTCTAGGTCGTCTTTCTGAGTCGTCCCTCTTCAATTCTTTCTCATGCAGTCTATGAATAAGTGATCTGATACCTCCTGGAGTTCGTGTTTTCATGTAGTAGTCCATTTGATGTTTACTGAGACTTGTCTGCAGAAATAGTAGCATGGCTGAATTGTTCACAAAAGAATTAATGCTTGCAAGCCTGTTGAGAAAAAAATTGTTCAGAAAAAAATATGTTAGAAGACAATATTTCAACAATTTTCTTGTTAATACTTTGAGACTTATTGAATGTCACCAAAACACAGTTACAAATGTGACCAAGAGGAAAGGAACTTCTACCTGTAAACATAAACTCCTAAATTACCATCTGTAAAAAAATTAATCGTATTGAATAGATCAAGTTCATATTAAAGGAACTGGAAGCAATAAAAATCAATATGAAACTACAACTGGGTTTGTAGTAACTTTGTACACAGACCTATTCAGAAATCTTGATAATCCTTCTTGGCGTTTCTGTAAAAAGCTCTCCTTGAAACGTCCAACATACTGTTTTCTTGGTAGATGTGGAACTTGCCTATTCAAAATAAGTCACTTATTCTTATGTTTTAAACATTAATCAGTTCAAAAAAGGCAAAGGGATATGTATATTTATTGTACCACTATCAATTAAAATTCAATTCACAAATATCGTAAGCCCAGATTGACATCATGACCCAAAATTTAAAAACAAAGAAATCATTTTATTCAGACTTGAATATTTGTTTGAAGTTCTAATAATTGGAGAACTTTAAACCTCCAGCACACTTACACCATTACAACATCATCAAGACCCAATCTGGTTCTCAGCCAAACAAACTCTGAATATCTTCGTCTCACTTGAGAATGGAACAATGGAAATGCAGGATGATTTGTCTACAGAAAGATTAACAAAGGTAAGAGAGAACAATCGTGATAAAATTCATTTGAGGAATTCTTGTCTATGATTAAATGTTGAGGCATGTGATTATCATGTGCTAGTCACACCTCTGACATGCCCCCTGACACACCTCCAATAAGTAAATCATTATCTCTACTCACTTTAGAAAAATTTGGTTTCTTATTCCTATCTTAGAGCAAAGGCTGGTTGCAGATAAAGACATCTTATTATCGAATAAGTCACTTTGAATTTCCAAAATTGGGTTGGTGGAATAAATTCTGTTAAATATGCCACTCTTAGTGTACATCAATGTAGGGTTGATTCTACTGCAACATATTGCAGTACCCTAATTTCATAACATGATTGGCATGAGGGACGATACTCTGATTTTACTGCTTACCGGTTAGAATTCATAACATCAGTTGTTTTCTTTGCTCATTCCTCAACAAAGATAAACACACGCCTTTCGAATGCCCCAAATTAACGACGCGATGACAAAGGAAATTTGCATGACTTTCGATATTAGCTTCGACCCACAGAACAAACCCGTTGAAGTTTATAAACCAGGAATGCTCATTTAAAACCTTGAGAGTTACTGAATACGATAACAATTTGTGTTGTCCTAGGTCTCAAGGTTTCCGTGGACCTTGGAATGAATTGCCGCCCCTCAAGAGACTCAAAACTAACGAAACACCGGCTTACCTTCAATTCAATTTCGTAGTCAGTATAAAGTGCCTTTTCTTTCTCAATATGGGTTCGAGGATTTTTCACTTCGATTTCCAAATACTGAAAACACAACATAGCAAAATAAATGAAATGAAAACATCTCGCAAAGTTCAGTCAGACTTAAAACACAATTAGAAATCGCTTTTACACACCGCGTTGCCGTACGCAGTTTCTCCCACTTGATCTCTTATCATAATCCAATCAAAATTCGGCTGAAACAGCCTGTAACCTCGTCTTCTATGCATGTGTGACCAAGATACCTGAAAACATCAACAAACCTCCTAAGCTAAGCGGTCAAAACAAAGAAAATTACAAACAAGAGAAGCCCCTAAACCGATTGCGTACATACCAGCCATTTTGCATCCGAACCCACTCTCCCCAGGGCTTCACGAATTCAGTTACATCACCGAAAATATATAAGATTGTACTGTACAGTTGAACAGACCGCCAAAACGTTTGAGACGAAGATAGATGTTTTGTAACATCATCTTACGATACGTGGGTTGGGATACTCATGACTAAATTTAATAAGCTTCCCATCGTTTCGCGATGTTATGTAATAAAATTGGTGCTTCGCGGTTTGTACGTAGTAGGTGCTCGAGAGTTCACATTGAGGTCACATCAACGTTTGACAAGACTGATGAATTTGCATTCACTGGCACCAGTGGGTAAATGAGGTACCGTACGGTGAAAGAACAAGTTATAATCTTTAGAAGCCTTTGTTTCTCATTCAGGAGTTGTGAATGCAAAGAAACGCGGGGAGGAAAGGAGAAGTATCGGAGGGGATCGTAAAAAGAACTGCTATATGAAGCACGTGTCCCACGGTCCTGGGGCACTGCACGTGAGAAACAGCGTGATTGTAGATAAGTCAGATTGTTAGCTTGTTTCTTCCATAATGAACTTATAGAGGTCGATGATTCTCCTCTGAAGCGACTTAAACTTGCCTTTTAAGCAGTTTTTGGGGTTTCTCTCTTTGACTCGTCCTTAAAGCGCGAGGAGATTCAAATAATGTTACATCTACATTGAAAACAGAAGCATTATTCCTATCATAAAGATTTTATTTTTCCCAGATACATGGTTCAAACACCTGTACACACCTTTGTGTCGAAGAAATATCCGTGATTGATTTCCGGAGAAGGTATTTCCCTGTATAAGCTACCAACTAGTACGTATCTGCCTCTCCAAAAGGCTTGGTTTTGGAGCTTTTTGGGGGGTCTAAACACAGGAATACATTTTCAGAACAATGGCCTTAAAACACGGATGATTTTCAAGGTAACCAGGAGAACATGTAAACATATTTGTTTTTTCAAATCCACATGGACAATAGAGAAAGAGAAGGAACCAAATATATTATTCGAGCTGAGTTCAAGGTTAAAATTTTACCATTATTGACCTTTGATACTGATATGAAGATTCATTTGGCTACAAAACTAAGAACTTGTTTCAATGGCTAGGCGTTAAAACAGTCATGGATCTTGGAGCCTACTTTTGGTAACGAGTGAGGAGAGTGACAGTTTTCTGTCTGAAATAGTGTCAAGAATTGGAGAACCGAGCTGCATACCCCTATCAAAAGTACCAAGGAGTTGGTGATTACAGATACGCCGGAATTCGAGTTTTCTGTTCATTGTTCAACATCATACGTTATTCCTTGCATCCGGTTGCATTAGTACTGTTGAGGTCACATTTTAGAGTTTCCACATTAGCCTCTCACAGACTTCGATCAAGGCGAAATAAGTCTATAAAAGTATGAAATAAACAATCTCTCTGAAAGAACTATCGCGTGTCGAAAGAGCTTAGAAAATTTTCTTTGCGTGACTGTGGTGTTATTACGTAATAATTTGATATGATTCAGCGAAGCGGCCTTGCATCAAATACTAACCGTGAAATTACTAGGTTTTCGTCTTTGAATGTCCATCAAAGCTAATGTCTGATGAAGAGGAATTTCAGCACGAGGAACGAGGACTTGTTATAGCTTTATTTGTAAGAAACATTTTGCTTGCCATCGTTAAAACCGGGCCCAAGTGATTACAGACCGCCGCACGCGCTTCTACTCTTTCTTGGTCGTCTTTATCGCGTCTTCCTTAGAGAGCCTACTACACAGGCTAATTCCAAAATTAAAAATATTTTACGCTTCTGTAGCCGTATTTGGGTCAGAACGGCCCATCGAAATCCAACAACAAAAACTTACTAATACTGAGATATAGTATGTTAGTTTTTGAACGGTTCCCTATCAACATCATTGACCAGGCTTTGCTCATGAAACGAAGGCTGAATTTTTACCGCAGTATTCTGTAGCTGGTGCAGTTGGTGGTTTCCAGCAAGTTATGCAGGAGCAGAGCAAGAGCAAAAAGCGATGCTCGAGGCCGCGAAAGATATGGCTGAGATAAAGCACAGACGAAAGTCTTGAAATAGTTAGTCAAAGGAATGTCGCATTTACTGCTTACATGGTATTAGGTGTTACCTGTACTCACTTAGCCAACAGCTTTCACTATTTTCCGTAAACTAAGGGTCCGTTACGTCAAGAGGATCAGTTTGTACAGCTTGAAATTTGCCTACGACAGAACGGAAAACGGTGACGCCGACAACGGAAGACGAGGTCAGGGGACATTCGCAAATTGGTTTGCGCGTCTCTTTGGGTAAGAAAATATTCAGCCTAACTCAAGAAACAGGTCAGCTTACCTCGTTTAAATAGTTGTTAGAAAAGCTGTGATTGACCAATTTTTCGGTTAACAGATGTTCATGGCTTCATAACGTAACTACCGGGGCACGAGTAGAAATAAAAGTCTGGCACGTCTTCAATTTTGGGCAAGAGATGCACTTCACTTTTTCATGTTTACATGTGCTGTCAGTCACTTCATACTATGACTGACGTTTTTCAGGGTTGAACGGAACACTTGTAGCTCTAAACCGGAATTATCTTAACTCCGCACCGGAAGTAGTATTGCATAGCCTACGTTCTTGGGAAGGTGAAAAAAACGTACCAGTCAAGAGAAGGCGAATAGTTTCTGAATTTTTCCTCTCGAAGTTTTGTTTTCGTGACTGAGTGTAAATGAGTAACTCGAAGGCCCTTTCCCCATCTTCCAACCGCCACCCACGCACTTAACATGTCCTCAGGCCGGAAGCGTTTAATTTGATAAGATACCGTTAAGATATCTTGCCTAACTCTGAAAACCAATTTGCTTTTCGGGTCAGACGACGAAATCGATTTTGTTATAATCAAATGAGGTAGAATTTTAGATAGTTCTAAAGAAGAAAATTGACACACAAGATTATTAGAACCAGAGTATTCATAAAATCTTAGATTTATCGTACACTATTCGATTATAGAATATTTCTACAAATGGATATCATATTAAAAAGTGACCTCATTAATGAGTCATCATAACATTTCAATGCCTTGTCCAAATGGCATACTTGGTTTACGAGCTGTCACGCAAATTCTTCCTCCAATAATAATCGGATATAGGTATTTGCACTCTATCCAAAGGCCAAACCTATTCTTTCATGTGCACGCGTAATATTTCACGCAACATTCCAACATTCACTTAGTCACGATAATCATACAACGTTAGTGTAACGCAATTCTATCATTTCGACTACATCGTAAGTTAAAAACACAGATGCTGACTGTAAACTGTCACATGAAGATGAAAACTCATCACGATCTTTCCAATCAAGTCCACCTATGGAAGAATGAAGAACACTATATTCGGAGTCACCATCGTCTCCATCTTCTTCCGAAATGGCATCTCCTTGGACACTACATTCTTTGCTGTCATAAACCATACTAGCCGTTGATTTGCACTTATTAATCTGACGAGCACAAGGAATACTTAAAACGTCGTACTCTTTCAATCGCACTTCCCTTTGGCAAGCATCCAAAGTATCTTCCTCATCACTACTGTCACATCTACCAGCTGATTTATCATTTTGAGAATTTAACCAGTCTCTTACACGAATAAAAGGTTCGTCTTTAACGATTTCATAGTCTGATAAATCAAACTCCGTTTCGTTATCCCCTTCATAAGGATTGGGGCTGCCCGATTTACCATCAGTGCTCTCACAATTGGCTTCATCAATCCTGGGGCAATTCATACCCGAGGGGGCAATCATAAGCTGTCCACCTGGTAATACTGATGCTACATTATGGGTCAGACTAAGTCTTCTGTTCAAAGGGGTTGACTGTTTCTCGAAGCAAACGGGACAGAAACCCCGAAGTTGTGAATTTGAACGTGATTTGCAGGTGGTTTGACATGTGTATCCCGAGCTCCAGCCATTTCCCATAAGGCCGCTGGAGGCGAAGTGCTGTTGTGAGGCAACCCAGCTGGAAACATCTGAAAGAATACAGAAAAAGTGAGGTTGATTTTACAATATAATCTAAGTATCTTTCAGAAGGTTTTTGCTTATTATAACTTTTTGGTTAACGGAACCCAAACGGCTGGCAAGAAACCGTAACGTCCCCCCCCTCCCCCTCTCCTCAGAACAAAAGAGACCATAGAAGGAATTAACACTTCATAAATATATGCGAAAACAACGAGAAAGCGGATTACTCTCAAACAACACTGGGATCAAAGCAAACTTATTAAGCAGAGAGGAATTATCAAAAGGATCTTTTTGAGAGCAGGAATGACGTATTTTTCTATTCATAGCAACCATTTTCTAAGCCTAGTAAATAATGGGAACTTACCATCAAATACTCCTCGACTTTCTTCAGCTTCATCTGGCTGAACACTACCCGAATAACCGCTGTCCACTGTTGAATGACATGTACATCTTCTGTCTTTGTATCGTTGACATTCCCCTATGGGGTCAATGATGTCGACAAGATCTCTCTTATCTCTTCCACTGATAAAGTTCTCCATCTCTTTTCTTGTTAAGTTACTTTGGATAAACAGATGAAATACGGAGTCCGCGAGAATTGGGGTGATTCGCGATAGACTGGAAAACAAAAACCAAAATTCAGGTCAATCTGGTTTATGCGTTCAAATTCGAGCAAACATGGTGGGAAAACAAATGCAAAAAAAACCGATGTAACCTAATTCATCTCACATTTTCAAATTACTCTTCAACAAGGCTAATGTTTGGCACAGAAATCAAATTTACAAACTGCAAATATATCATAATATGTAACAAGGCCACCTGGAAGTAAATTTGCAAACTTCAAACTAATGAAATTCGCATCACGTTTCTGCTCTTGTGAAACATATTTACTCAGATATACACTATTTACACGTATACTTTTAATTTTCAAAATGACGTAAGAGAGGGTTAAAGGTGTGACTACGCCAAGGCAAAAAACGTTGATCTAGGATGCGGTTTCCTTCCAGAAGCTTTAAAATACTGATTTTTCATTTTTTTCATCAAAATATGCAGAAAATACCGTTAGTGAATGCAACAAAGGAAAAGCTTTTGTTCTGAGTTGTACTTTGGACTGTTTTATACAATTGCCTTCTTGTCACAAAAAGGCTCAGGATTAAAGCCGTGTTGTTCACGTGCGATTCTACTGAGTGACTTGTTTCATCATTCAAGCTGCCATAGAGAATAGTTGGTGCGAAAAGATGGCGAAATCTAAAATAAACTTGATTAGAAATGATATTTTTGTCCCGTAATTAACTCTAACGTGAGCAAATAGATAAAAGAGGTGTTTTCATTCAACAAGTTGATCTGCTCTCTTGGATATGATCGAATATTTTCCGCAAAAAAAAGGAGGAACAAAACGAACAAAAAATAATTAAAGGATATGGCTAGATAACGTAGTACCAGGATCCAAGGACCTATTTATATCCAGCTCGGATTCAGAGATCTCACTCAACTGAGTTGATCACAAAGCTACAAAAAAAAATTCAATTTTTTTCGTTTGGGATGGCGTGCAAACCCTTTCCGAAATGTCGATTTTTTTTTCTCAGTAACCAGGCTGGAAAATTACAAATGGAAAAATATCCAGCCCTGTCATTGGGAAAAAACTTCAAAAGTCGCACCGTGTTATTCTGACGCGGGACAGCGCGTGGGTTGGTCAGTTTCGAGCATTTATTAACATGAGGAACAGGACAGGGCAGGTCGGGTTAGTGATGGCAAAAGATGGACTGGATCTTACCTGGCCAAAGCCTCCTGTAGACCACTTCGACGTTCATCTAAAAATCCTTTGCTAAATCGACCAAAGACTTTTCTCCTCGTTGGCAACGGAGGTAGTTTCCTGAAAGTAACCAAGGCATAAATCGATCTTCAATCAATCATGTATGAAACGGTACGTGGTTAAGTACATCTCAGCCACCGCCTCTAAAAATAAGGCTAAACGAATGGTCCAGCTCATAGAGCGTGTACCTTATAGGAAGCAAGCATTGAAGGCTGAATGTTTCTTGAATGAAATTGATTTAAATGGACGGCCGTTTACAGTATGCAAATTTATTTTGATCCATGAAACAAAGGAGGGAAGGTGTCTTGGCAACCAGACAAGTCGCTATCAAGCTGATGCAATCTCCGCGGTTTGGACGCTAAATTCTTATTTCCTACAGGAACTTGTTAATATTTCGGCCAACAATTCTAAAACCAGTAGGAGCGACTTAACGCACAACGCCAGCGAGTTCTATTTGTTGCTCCATTTGAGTGTTCATACAAAACTTTGAGTATCTCAAGGAGGCATGAGTGCTACTTAATGATAATAATGAAAACAATCAATGACTTTTAAATGCATGGTTGTAAAGGTTTCTAACTTACAGTGTCAGTGAGGTATGTCTTGATAAATGTTTCCATAACCAAATAAACTCCGAGAAACGTCTTCTAACTTGAGTATTTTGCTTAGCAAAGATCATACTGTTGGTCTGTGAATGAGTAGGTAAGTTACTACAGATCAATTATTTTTAATGTATATTCTCTATTGTCGGGTCCAACCTAATCACAAGGATTCAGAAAAACACGCCCGAACATTCAAAGCAAATTAAAGAGGCGCAGGAAGGGTGGGGGAAGGGAGTTCTTGATCAAACTCTCTAACTTTTCCTCTTCTCTCTTGATCATGCCCTTCCCCTCTGCTATCATTATAATATTTTCAAAACACTTTAAACAGGTAACGAGGAAAAACAATATGATGTTTTCATGTTTTCACTATCTCTTTGTATACTAAGTTGGTTTGAAAACCTTGCTTGAAATTTTTAAGTAGAGTTGAGATCGAATCTTGATTTATTCCTTGCTAAAATAAGGAAGATTTCGTGATCAGTTCCTTTCATAAAGGTCGACTTATTCGGCTGCTCCCCACCCACGCCCACACGGATATGTGCCCACCAAAAGCTAAGAACCGGAATTTTACGGTAAGTTTCCAAAAATAACACTTTCACCCACCAGAACTACGATCTCGAAGTCTGTATAAACAGGCCATCTGCGCAACAAATGAGTTCGAGGATTACGAACATGGATAGAGATGAACTGAAAAAAAAAGAGTGCTGTTAGCGTTATATTGCCTCTAACTGACCGCCAGTCCTTCATTTGGCTAACAACCAACTTATAGGATTATAGAAAGGTCACGTTTTTAAAGCAAATTTTTTTTGTCCAGAGGGGTTCAATGTCCTTTGTTCGCTAGATCGCTCGATGTGGGTCGATTTGTGCCGCTTCCCGAAAGACCGCGGGCTCACCACAAGCAATGTGCTTGTATCGTAGCGAAATCTTTACACTTTTTCACCATTCTGACTTTCTCTCTCTTCGAAATGTTTTTCGTAACGCTGAAAGAAAGTAAACGCCCTAAATAGAATTAGATCTCTCGTCTCATTAGTAGCATCCCCTGGTTCACGAATGTTAATCTTTGGTATACGATCACGCGTGTGGGTACCCTCTGGGTGCCGTCACGTTTTTTTCTTCACAAACGATAAATTCGTACCCAATTTTTTTGCAAACCGTAGTTAAAACATTTATAATAGTCCATACGCATGTGCAGTGTATAAATAAATTGAACAAACTGATTTGCTTTGAAAACATCAATTTCTCATGAAGCTGGAGATAGATTAACAGAACAAAGACGTGTCATATCTTGCTCATTAGCGTAATAAAACATTTCTAACAGGGTCTCTGGAATTTGGAAATGACTTGTCTGAAGAGATGAATAAAGTTTTTCTCCTTTCTTGCAATGAACTCAGATAAACAATGGATCGGGGATGCAATTTCAGCCCACAGGTGAATAACTTTCCTTCATATTTTATTCAAACCGTGGAATGAGCCTTATAATCTCTCGTAAACCAATTTTTTTTCTTTTGGTGAGCTCAGCCGCACATAATCGAGATAAGGGATCCATTTAAAGGGGAAGATTTTGATCTCGGGTGTTATACGGGCTGTTATAATCCACACTGACAAGCAAGTCCTATACGGTTAATATTCCTCAACAGGATGCCTACTCTGGTTAGTTATTGAAGGTTTTTCTATTCTATTGCATTTCATTGACAAATGTTCGTGGAGACAGCAAAGTGGCTGTTGGCAAAGTAGCTCCCCACAGATTTCGCGTTTTAAGGCATTTGAACACATTGTGTACCTTCTTCACGCAGTAATCGAAATACAATTCAGCGTTGAGAAATGAACGGCAAAAGATTTATGCATTGTTTACCTCAAAATCCGCTGCCTGTCCGGCCAAGTTTGCCATTGTCGGGCTCTTCTGTGTTCAATTAACCACTCAGCGCAGACTTTTAGTGTTATTTTCTTCTCGTTTGGTGAGGCGGAGAGTTATTAAACCGCTCTAATACAGTAGATTCTGATATGTATTAAGTCGCGCCGTGGCATGAGCTGGAATCGAACCAGCAGAGACGGAAGTCCACAAGCGACCGTCAATCGCTAGCTTGCCAGCCACTCGGTTCCTCTCAATTTTCTAAGGTTCTTGATTGCATTGGCAGAATTTTCCTGATCCTCAGAACATGAGAAGAACTTGCGAGATTGCAACACCAGGTTTGTGAAGTGTCGAAAATTATCATATATGTACACCGCTATTATTGTCTGCCAGCGTCACTGGGTGAAGCAGGAACCAATTACCTTTCGGTTTGCGCAATAAGTTTAATAAGTTATGCAAATGATCAAGCCGTGAAAGCCGCTCTCTCTGAAATGCATATCATTACAGTAGGTGGCGTCGACTGCCTTCTTTAATTTATTTCATTACCATTTAGAACTCACAACATTCATTAAAGCTCAATCACTCCATTTAAAATCACGATTTAAATTGTTTTGCAACCAAGAAAAATCAGTTACTGGGCACTCCCAATAATTTCCTTTCATTTCAGTTATCATCACAACATGAGATAGATTAGAATTGGAATGTAGTGTTTTATTTTAAGCATAAGGAGAGTGTACCCTTTCACATTTAGAAAACATGAAATCGATACCTCAGGAAGGAACATTCCTGTAAAGAACTGGATCAAACACGCATTTATGTATTTCGGAATTCGAAGAAATCTAAATTTCTGAGAATACAGTATGGTGTCGATTTATTTCCACCATATCCATCATTTTCTATTTCAGCACGTATCATTTCTATTCTTGAGCCACTTGGTCGAACACGAGCCACTACGGTCACGTTTTAGTGCCATTTGTCAGCCTCAAGAAGAATTTTGTATTATCCTCTGCCTGCTCTCTTGATTTTCCTCTTGCAAAAGTTCATCTCAGCGATATCTTGCTAATTCTCCCTCCCTAGACTGTATCTTTCGCTTCACTAGTGAGGGAAACAACCCTATTCGACATCCTTTGGTTTATAATCACGATCATAACCGTTATCATCTACTGTATATAAAACTGGTTGAATAATTTTAGACGGAGGACAAGTTTTGTTACGCATAAATAAATCTTGCTGACTGATTTTTTGTTTGTTTGTTTGTTTTTTTTTAACTAAAGCGCAGATGGCAACTTTTTAACCTTTTAAAATCCAACTGAACCACTAGTAGTCTAAAACGCTTGCCTCTCGCAAGGGCCGCCATATTTTTACTCGTTCAAATTTCTTTGCAATTCTGTTTTCGCGGAAAACCAAGGCCACTTTTGTCTGTTTTCGTGTCTATCATAACGTCACAGCAAATGTTTATGCGAGGTTTAAAATATCTCAGTTGGGTGGGCCTACTGAAAAATGTCGTGTTATTCAAATTTCATTGAGAGTTCATCAAGCAACCACGAAATCAAACGTGATATTGTAAAAGCAACATTGTACAATTCTTTACTAATCCCGTTCGCTTCATATAGTTCTTTTTTTTTTTCGACCTGTGAACTGAAGGAAAACACTAACTTAGAAGACTGGTGACTTTATTCAGGCTGAGTGGATGTGTGTAGAGTAATTCAGGTCACCTTCCTTCGAAGAATAAGCACTTTTTGATCTGCGCTCTTCATGACATCCTTAAGGTTTTTAGAGAAGCCTGATTGATTTTTACGGATAAAAATTTTTGTCTTGGGGAGTGCATATTTTACCAAGTGTCCAATGTCTGGTTGCTAGCGGGTCTAACTTCCGCTTAAACCGGAAATTTGCAATGTTCGTGGAAACGAGGCTATCAAACAGGAAATGGTGCATTGACATTTGAAAAGTTTAGAGGGAAACAGTTAGATTAATGTCTGACTACAGGGATTGTTGTTATTAAAGAGGGACAAGTGAGCAAGCATGGAGAGTAAAAAGGGAAGAAGAAGATTGAAGGTGTTCTAAAATAGAATTGAATTTTCTCATCTACATACCGTTTACCTCTGGATAGGCTTTTCAACACATGTACAAGCTAAACTTAAGTCGATACCTTGAGTATTTGTAGATCTTGTATAGTGATCGTTTCTTGATTGAATTACTAACACCATCAAACATATCAGAAAAGGAGAACGAGTGTGAATCTCGAAAGACAGAGGACCAACCTCACGGAACAGGACAAAAAACAAGATCAAGAGAACATGGAAGTGGAAGCATCAGTGACAAGTAAGATTAATAGACTTTTTGATGCCTTGGGTTCAGATTCATGCTTACTTTACTTTAAAAACATTGTTATATTTTCTTCAGATGTGTCTAAACTGTCTACATATACCACACTTAAAGCAAACAACAAAGCCCTGGCGGCAGCTCTTGGTAAAGTCTTGTTGAATTTATTCTTGTCTATGAAACTTGTCAGCTATGAAGAATCAAGTTTAATTTGAGGTTTTTCTTTATCAGTATTATCAAAGATGTTAAACTTTGTTTTCAGAGGATGCCCAGCAAGAACTTTGCCTTGTTCAACGTGAAAATGTCCAGCTTAAAAAGAAAATCTATAACAGTCATTTAGAATTTGTGGAGAAAACAAAAGTGTTAGAACAACAATTGAATTCCCATGAGAAGATCTCAGAAAATGATTTTGCATCAAAAGCAGAGGTGTGGTCCATTAAAATTTTTGTCTAATCATGTGTTAACTATCAAGAAAGCATAAAACTAGTTCTTTGCTGTAGCTCTTCATTCAAGTTCATGAAGCTGATATAAGAGCTGTCAAATCCAGATTTTTTCAATTCTGGGAAAAAAGGAACTAGTGTGAATAGAGGGTTTGAAAACCTGAGTTAAAGTTATACTTTTTCTTGGGGACATGTAAGCCCTTTTTGGTTTGAATGGTTAGGGTTCTCATGAAACTGCAGGGTGAACATTTTACAATTCCACAGTATTTCTTCTCATAGCTCACTAGTTTTACTAGCAACTAACTAGTTAAAGGGGCCCTGAGAATAATTTTTTAAATATTCGTATAGATTGCTGCTATTCTTTTAAGACTAAAATGCTTAGAATTATTTCTAAAATCTTGCAACTTTATATAGATATGTAGGTATGATCAGACTATTTACATAATAAGGTAACTTGATTGTTTATGGCTGCTCTATTTATTTTATGTAGGCTGGAATTAAAGAAGTCCATAATCTCCTGAACCAGACATGTGGCAAGTTTGTTCAAGGTTCAAACTTTTTGTCAGAAGCCCTTCATCTTCTTAGCTCTCTCCTCGCTCCAGCTGAAGGACACAAGCATGAAACTATTCATGTAGTATCAAACAGTGTGTCTCCTTATATGGACCCTGTCTCAAACTGTGTGTGTACCACTCCTCCACCAGATGAACCATCAGCAATGGAGATCACAGATATACAATCAACCATTATTGAGAACAATGAGTTTTTCATGAAAAACTTGGACAGAGGTAAGTTTGTGGTAAGTTATCTAAGTCTGGTGTGAGAAACAACGCTTGATCATATTCCAGATAAATTATGGAAAAAATATCAAAAATATCTTCAACAGTTGAATGTTTTTTACATCTTTTTGGGGGAGTTTGGAAATCTGGTTTAACACTGTTTTGATGGCAACAGAGAAATAGACTGAATTAATTTGATGTAAGGTCCTAAAATATTGAAGATTCTAACTCACACTTACAGTAAGGCTTCCTGACTGGATGAATTGTTGGTGAATTTTAGAGTAAGGTCACTAGCAGATTTAGATATTTTTAATTTCTAGTGTAATGTCATTTCTGATTAATATGTATTAATATTCAAATGAAAATAAATTACTTCATTTTAAGGACATGTTTTGAAAATGCTCTGCCCATTTATTTGGAAAAAGGAATTCTGAGTAACATGGTGGACCAAAATGAAACAAGGAAGGAATCCAGCCAGCCTCAGCCTGCTAGATGCCGCATGAAGAGGAAAAGTACCACAGGTGTCAGTTATGTAGAGCCAGGACTTCGCAGGTATTAAATGTACAACCTTAGTGACACTCTATAATGAGGGAGTGGTAAAGCCATACTCTAAGGTGCCTTTGGAAATGGAAAGCAAATTACTAAGCGCAGGGAATGTTGGCCTCTTAGGTTATGTAAAAGACATTACTTCTTCCATGTCTTGTTTCCTATGCATGTGTATGCTTGTTCTTCATGTAATTTTGAACTCTACAGTATGGTCATTTTAAATGATGTCTTTGTCATGTTAGGGGGTCCTGTAAAAATTTTATCATTCAGAGTCATGTTTGTAGGTTGATTTACCAGGATTTGATTGATAAGACATGGTATGCAGTGTTAAGCTGACTTTCGTTTACGAGAGATGTCTCTTTGAATTTTTCTTTGGTTTTATGTCAACAGCAAATTGCGCAGAGGAGACCCTTTTACTGACAGCAGATTGTTTGGTGATGCAATCCAAATGAACACAACACGAAAAAGTAAGTTAGGAAGTTTTTTTGCTCTGACAAGTACTTCGATCTACTATCAAGCATTGCAGCCTAAAAAATAAACCACCAGAAAATGATGATCAAATCTTTTATTTTTTTATGTCTGTTTGGTCAAAGTTAAATTTAAGTTAGTTGAACCAAAATACATCCATATTTTTTGCTTGCATTGTGTTGAATACATCTTTTGACTAGTTTTGCAGCACATTTCAAAGTGAATCAAGTAGCATTTATATATTTAATTCAGCTAGAATGTATAGTTTACATACACAGCAATAAATACATGAAATTGAGACTATCCTATTGGACAAGTAAGGAACATGCTGAGTGTACAGATAGTAAGTGAAGTCTCTTCTTGTAGAAAAGAGAAGTTTGACAAAAGGAACCACGACTCTACCTATCATGGGAAAAACAGTAAGTGCCCATGTTAGATTTTCATATTTGTTTGAGATGAGAATTTTTTATTCCGAGTGAGCTTGTTTGGCTTTAAGTATTTACAAAAATTCTTCTTTTCCTCAGAAAAAACGTGCTCCCTTGGCAAATCTAACAAACATTATCGTTGAAGAAACCTGAAAATATCCCGAGAATTTCCCATGCATGAATTCATTGGAGTCAAAGGAATATGGCTGGCCATGAAGAAACGAAAAGCAAACAATGTATCCACAATTGAGTTATTACTTAGAGTATTTATTTACAAGAGGATATAGTCTTGTACGTAGAGGAGGTTTTGTTGTGAAATATCGACCTTTTCGATGTGTTTGTCGATTAAATTTATTTATTTAAGAAGTAGTTGTATTTTTCCAGGGAACATCTCTTTTCCCTTTTTTTCAACCGTTTTTGAACCGTCTGTGAACTCTTGCCAAATTAATAATACGATTCTGTAAAAGAAAACGTGGTATTTCTCCAATTTTGAATCAGAGGAGTTTTCAAAGGGTCGGCTGTTTGAAAACGCGCGAAAAGGAAACGCTTTTCACCATTACTCCAGCAGCACGTATTTGAAATGAGATGGTATGTCCCTCGCCTCGACTTGCCTGCCACAACCAATCTCTTTTCCAACGTCTGAGAGGGGAATAACTGTTTTATTTAATAACAAAACCAAAGAAATGTCTAAGATCTGCGAAAGACCGCACGAAATAGCAATTTATTCCACGAGAGAGATTTTTTAATACGAACTGGTATAACCTGGCCTGTAAACCAATCAAAGCTCAGGAATTGAAATAAAAAAATGGTTAGTTTTGACAAAGAGATAGCTCAAATAAGTACATGAGCTACGTTACAAAATACATTACGCACCCGGTTTACACAGTACAGAGAGCAATTCATTGAAATGCGAGTTTCAATTTAACCCTCTTTTTTAGTGCCTGTTTCAAACAACCAGATATTGCAGCATCGTTCCCACAGTGTAGAGAACGACACCCTTAAAGACAGCTTAGTCCTTCTGCTCTCACTCTACGATTCCTAACACAAACACAGAAACAAATACCCTTTTCCACCTCCAATGGTAACAAGGATACTTTGATCCCCCTATCTGTCTTTGCGATCCTTTCTCTATATTTGAAACATTAAATTAGACGTAAGTAAGAGAGAACATAAGAAAGGACACTGACAGCTCCTTGAAATCTAAACGATTTATGCTCTATTTCTTGGCCTCAGTCTCCTCAAAGCTTTTTTTCTCCAGGATGGAATGGGTTCGGTGCACATAGCGGCAAGGAACTAAGAGTATGATTGACAACTCGGTGATGAGCTTCGTCAGCTCGAATGGCCAAAATGACGTCACGCATCCTTGAACCCTCCTATGAATTACAAAAACAAGAAGGAGAAAGAAAAGATGGATATAAAACCTTTATCATGTCAGGTTGAAAAATATTTTGTTCTAACTTGCGGAAAACTCTTACCGGTAATTTCCAGTAATTAACAGCAATCTTGGGAGCCAAAAGATTTTCCCACAGAGGCAACTTACCGCTGTCGATACACTACAAACATGGAAGATGAATGAGTCAAGATAAGATAAAGTCTGGGGAATATTTAGAAGACATACGAATTACAACCCGGCTAAGTCAACTAGAAAAGACGGTAATCTCAATCTTCAGGGTGCTCTGATACCTCAATACAATGAGTATACGTTTTAACAGCTTCCTCCTCCAGGTAACCAACAAATCTGTGGCAAAACTTGGGGCTTATCAGGTAGGCCAAGAAAAACAGGTTTACAAACGTTCCTGAAGAAAATAAAGCCATGGAAATGTTCAGAAACGCGCTTAAAAAAAACAATTCTGAAGGAGAAACAAGTTATTCTTATCCTTAGTATAACTGTACATAAGCACTTCCTGGTCCCTTCACATACGGGACATTGAGGCTTAAGCCACCCACCTTCAAGATTTGAAAGCTTTCTATTCTCCTAAATGAACCCTCTGCATCCTCTTGTTGATAGTATCTTGAATTATTCACGTAATGATTATTCCATCTTCGTCACTTTTGATTCTTGTATTTATATACTTCATTTGATGGTATAAAAATTAAAAAGTCTTTATTCTCCTTTGATATTTGTTCGACAGTATTATAAGCAAGTTGGGTGAATTTCTGGACTGATCATTCTTGAGAGCCAATGAGTACAGTAACAATCTTGTACCGGCAGTACGTTCAAAGTATCATGACATAATAGATCCAAAATTGGCTGTGAAAATGATTCACGTAGAGTGTAAATAAATAGTATGAGGTACCTTGAGCTAGGAGAATTGCTCCCCGAAATAAAATCCCAGGTTGCTTCATTTCCAGGGCTGTCATCAAGTGCATTCTCTCGTTTTCAGCCTCCTCTAAAGATTAAAGACATCAATTGACTTTCAGATGATTCTGTTGAAAGCCACCACAGTTCAATTTACAATCAGCGCACCCTTTATTTTTCGCTTACCCAGAAGTGTGTGTATCCATCCGTTATCTCTCTGGAGCCTCCTAAGCGCGTGGAAGTGTCTTGTCATGCCAGCAATCATTCCAGGAACTCCTGCTATTGTCTCTAACATAATGATCCGACTGTTGATTTAATTAAGCAGATATGTTGTGTAAACGGTACCACAAAAAAAGATCCAGCTTCAAAAGAAGCTAGTCAAAAAAGTCTTAGCCACGCTGATTTCCTCCGTGTACGACGATGTATTTTTCCAATTAGAGACAAATTACAAAAATTACGCCACCTTTGCGGCTAGCTTTGGAATCAAGACGTGGCCCAGGTCAGTTTACTGGTTGTACAGACCGACGTGGGGGGGCTAAAGTGTCGGAAAACCAGCTCAAACTTACTTGAGCCAGCGGTTTTCGTCGAGCTCCATGAAGCGATACAATGATATGATGTCGAATGCTGCTCTCAAGGCCTGAACACTTTTGTATGCAAGCTGTAGGTTTAGAAAGAATGAAATGGAATTATCACTCAACTGAATACAAAATACAGATACAAAATTACACACGAACGATTTCCAGTAAATTTCTCCACCACAGTACCATCTAACCAATAACTTAGTAAAAATTAAACGAACGTAACCTGGGATGTGTAGGGATTATGTAGACATGTTATAAAAAGCTCTGAAGCACTGTGGCAGGTAAGTCATATTTTGCTGCATGGCATGACGTTCAATTTATAACCTTTCAGCCTCGAAACTTACAAGAACATATGACTTCTGATCGCTAGGAACAAAAATAATACCTCATCCACAAACTTTTGTGGTTTTTGGTGAGTAATTTTCACGCTGAGGACATCCTCTGCCGTCCTAAATGAAAACAAAAAACAGCTAGTTTAAAAAGCTTGAATTTGTAAGTGAAGTCTTTAATTTCTCACGTAGTTTTATGAACTCTGAATGATATATCAATAGATGTAATAGATAGTATCGTGAGATTACGTTGTTTAGAGGCTCGTACCAGACTGGGTGTGGCATTCTGTAGGCTTCATCCCCAGTTGTGCTTCCATTTTTACCAAAATGACTGATGGCTGTTTCCTTGGATGGAGTGGTTACCACTGGCGTTGGTTGTTGGACTTCTGATGTACTTTGATTTAGAATGGCATTTGTGGAAAACAAGGAAGCCTGCAAGTAACAAAAGTTCCTACTAATGTTAATAATGATAATAATACTTAATATGATAATAGTAATAATAATAATTGTAAAAATCATCCTGGTAATCATAATATAACGGCTGTTTACTGAGAACGAAGAAACGAAATAATTTCTCCGGCGGAGGAAAATATTACTTTCGCGAGTATGTGCTCCTTTCGTGACATACTCCTTTCGTTAATTTTTCCTTGCGTAATGTATGTGAACCCAATATCCCTTATTTTTTTGCTTTATTTCGTCATATTTTACTCGCAGAACCCCTGGATAACTGTGATTTATTTTCTCACCTTAATCACTATCCCTTATAACACTGTAAGTAGTCTATAACTTACCCCTGTTCGCCGTGGCTGTGCAATCCCGCACAATTTTCTCACGAAATCGACCTCAGAAATCGGTTTGACGAAAGTAAAACAATTTTCAATTCCTCTCATTGAAAGAGGAACCCGCTGGAGTCCAGTTATGGCCATTTTGAACATTAGAACGATCAAAGAAATACAGTCTGATGCTTATTCCCTTTCTTCTGTCAGCTGTCGCTTTTTAAAATCAATTTTTGTTTGTAGGATAACGCAATTTGTAGTCGCGATTGCAGTATTCTTCTGACGTAACTGAGAGCTTCCTTTGCAATTACCTCTTGAATTATATTTAATCCGTTTTGCTCCGGCCGGTATTGATGAGTCATGGTCGGACCAAAGACTTCAAATTTTAATGTTTTACAATTTTTTATATATAACCAAGCAGTTAATGAGATGTTTCACTCACTAGAATATACCAAGTGGACTATCACATTTTCTTTTCTTTGGCCCTGGATCCACTGAAATAGAGAAAAAAAAGTTTTGTTTCTTTTATAGAGTCGAATACGTATTAGCTGTATAGAATAATACTAGATAACTGAGGTACACCAAAGGACGACTTAATCGACAGAATGACACAGAATAACACAGAGTGACCCAGAATAAAAGGCGCGCAAAAAAAAACTACGAGCTTACGATGTACAAGCATGGAGAAGTTTAATCATGGTATTTGCAAATTTCAAATTCTTCCCTCAGGTGAAATGCTCGATTTAAGTAATCAATTCATCTACTTCGCTTAATCGAGAACAAGGAGGAAAGTCTCACTGAATTTTCATAACATCTTCATGGTTTCGTATCGCGGAAGTAAATCCAAAAGTTTCTCCATGACGGTCGCGAGAAATTATTAGATTAGGAAGGAACTTTTTTCAGGTTGGCGCAGTGAATTCCCGAATTTCAATCGTCTTGATTTCTTTCCGTAGAATAATTCAGCAAGAAAATAATTATATTTCGTCATAAAAGGAACTAAAAAGAAATGAACGTCAATAAATCCTTTGATATCTGTAACTTATGATGCAATAATTTCACTGAGCTCTCCCAAGGTCAACTAAGAATAGATTATTGGTCGCGGGGGCATGGATCTAACAACGATTTGTACGCCATTATTTTCGCTGAGGGTGATGTGGGCCAAACTCAAGCAGTTGAGGCTTAAATGTAAGTACGTAAATATAGAAGTCTTATAGTTTTTTTTTTTCTACGTACATGTGATTTTGAGATATAATATTCTAGAAGCAGTGATGTAATTTGCATTTACCTGAACTTCAATGAGCTTCAAAATCTCTTCAGAGTGGTTAAAGTACAATTTTCTATTGACCTTTTCTGGTTATGATAAAATTATTTCAACTAAATTTGGAATATATAAGCGCAAAAATTTGCCACGGACTATGAAAAATGATCGGGTACGTAAATTTCAACGCAGTCAACGAAGAGGTCTTTTAGTCAGATAAACTGCTTTGAAGTTCTTTCATAACTATAAGTCTTGAGTTCGGCCTCTACTCCAAATTAGTTAGCTTGGCAAACAGCAAGGGTTAAGTGATCTTTTAGTGTGAAACAATCTGCTATTTATCTAAAACACCATTGTGAAATGTAAGACTAACATTTTACAACATCCAAAGTCTTTTGCTTCTTTAATATCAAATAAATGTTATCTACACAGGCATAGAAGAAGAGCTTTACAAGAGGATTACTAATTTAAACGGCAGGTCAGATGTTATGTTGTACAATATATTATGAGGGTTTTGTATACTCCTTCAACAGTTAACTCTCATCAGCCTCTCACATTTCTTCTCTCTATCTGGGCACCTCTGAATAAGCACTTATCAATTGGTAGCTAAAACTCATCACTACAATGCAGCAAGAGTACACTTCCAAGACACTAGGTTTTTACTCTTAACTTAATTTATGTCCCATGATCAAGAAAATGAGATAAGTTTACTGTGTGTGAACTGTAACCCTAACTTTACCATGGAGAAAACAAATTTCCTGGACTACCCCTGAAATGATCATGAAACTATGAATTCATATTTGAAATAACAATTTAAAATTGTATTGGAGTTAAGTGATTGCAGATTCCTTTGAAACATGAACATGTATTTTGCCTCACTAAGAAAAAGCAAGCTGTCTGAAATTACATTCATTTAGCATACAACTAGTAATTAACTAGCTAAGCACAGTTTTGTTACACTATGACAGAAATTTGTCAACAAACAATACAAAGGAAGCACTTACAGAACTGTATAAAATTTCTCCTGCTGGCCATGTTCCTCTGCACATTACACGTCCACCTTATGCTGACACTGGTACAGTGCCAGACCCACCTTACTCCACTGAAATTAAAACAGAGAAGCAGATTGCTCTCATGAGAACAGCATGCAGAACAGCCGGGAAAGTTCTCAATGTGGCCAGAGATAGTATCAAGGTGAGAATATTTTTTTGCTACTTTTATCTGATGTATTTCAATTTTTCCTTCATCTTTTCATCCAAGTGCTCAGGCAGTTCAAAAAGATTGGTGAATTATTCTTAATTGCCAGAAGGGAATTAATTTTTCAGTGGAACATTGACACAACATGTATACAATAAAATGGGTGTTAGTTGGTAACGTTTATTTTAAGACATTGCGATCATGTGTGATACTGAAGTCACTTCAGTCACTGAACTGTAGGATTTTGATAGAATTGACCTACACACTTGAATTCCATAGATGAATTATGAGTTCATGAAGACTTAAAAGAGTAACATGCAATGATGCACATTATAATCTTGTACATTATATTTAGCTCCTTGAGCTAAGTCAGTTTGATCTCATTTTTTTTCTTCTTTTAAGGTAGGTGTTACAACACAAGATATTGACCAGATTGTACACCAAGCTGCAATTTCATTTGGAGCCTACCCCTCTCCTCTGAACTACAAAAAGTTTCCCAAGTCTGTGTGTACATCTGTTAATAATGTGGCTGTACATGGTATACCAGACAGGTAATCTGCTTCTACACAAGGAATAATTAATTTTTGTGGTACGGTTTAGTGGTAATTTATATGGCATGATTTATATAGTGGTGAAGTACTTAGTACCTCTAGGATTGCAAAATTTTGTTCAATGTAGTCTAGGGAAGATCTGATCTACCGATCGTTATTTGAAAGAATTGCTGCAGGGCTAAATAAGACTAGGATTAGTGTAATTTAATTACTCAGTGGTTACACAACTGATTTGTTGGAACCAAATTTGGTAAAAACTCTACTCATTACAGCTGTTAGGATATTTTGTTTATTTCATTGCAGTCAATCTTTACAAGATGGTGACATTATAAGTGTGGATGTTTCTGTAAGTGTGACATGATATATACTGTTGGAGTAATTATTTGATTAAGAACATTGTGCACTACTTTTTATGGTTTAAAAGATGAATTCTTGTAGTTAGTTATTTTTTGCACCTGTGAGCAGAATTATGTTTGGATCAGTAGTATGACAACTTACAATGATGCAGTATGATGCTTGTGTGTGGTTATATGTTACATGTTATATAATTATTTAACTTGAGAACATTGTCTCAGAGGAAATGTTACTATTTCTTTGCAAAAGTCAATCATGTTAATATTTAGCCTTTTTATAAATGACAGCAATACTCCAAATTCTCTCACATTCAAGCAAAAGACCAGTTTATCACAGTGACTGTTATTGATTTGTGAATGTAATAATCAATACACAGAGGCTTAAATCATGTCTTATAGGAAAGTTTCAATACAAAACTTCCTTTTTTTATTTTCCTGTATGATATGTAACACTCCTGTGTTCCATTTTTTGTAATTGTTTTCTTCAGGTCTTCATTGGTGGTATGCATGGTGACTTGTGCGCAACATATGTAGTTGGTTCTGTTGACAAACAGGGTCAGAGATTACTAGAAAGCTGTCAGCGTAGTCTTGATGCTGCAATCAATATCTGTAAACCTGGAGTACGGTTTTCGTTGATTGGAAACACAATTGAGTAAGTAGAACAACTAAATTTGGCTATTTTTGGAGTATGTTGCCATACATGTTCATCTCTAATGTTGGTAATGTTTGTGTCTGGTAATAGTTTTTGTTTGTTAGGGCTCTTTCATCAGGAAAGTTTGATTTGCTTCTAGATCTGTGGCTGGGAAGGATGGATTCACAGTTTGTCCCAATTTAGCAGGTCATGGTATTGGATCATACTTTCATGGACCTCCAGAAATTTTGCATACAGGTTTGCAGTACTTGTAAGCATGCACAACTCCAAAGTTATGATTTTGGTTATTTTTATTTACCTTCCTCTTCAAAATGAGATCCCCATAGGTTTTCACACAGGAACTGAAAAAAATTGTTGATTCATATTTTTCCTAGATCATTTGATAAAACCAACAATCTTAAAGCTTTATTGTTCTTGGCTCAGCCTCCAGGCAGTATGCACTATTACCAATGGAAAACTGGATGCCACTTGGATATCAATTTTTTTTTAAAGGAATCCAGTAAGCTAGATAGGCAGTACAACGTGTCTTTTATTGTGGTTTCATCAAATTTTACTCCTCCCCCAGGAATCTCATTTAAAAGGTTAAAATTTTGTATGAAATGTAAGGCTTTAATTTCTCATATTCTTCTCTTCCTCTTCTTTTCACAATAGCAAATTATAAACCTGGGAAAATGGGACCAGGCATGACATTTACTATTGGTAAATATCTTGACTATCAAACAGCTATTTTATGAATAGGTATAATATTACCTGGCAAGAACCTCATTAAGGTAGACCTTGTAAAGCCCAAACTGACAGTTGGCATGGTTACCTGTTACTTGTCCTTTTCCAAAGCACTACTATTCAAGTATTGATTTCTTAGCTCAAGTATCCCTGGTGCTCTCAGACTTTCTCATGGTGCAGATCAAAGCATAATAGCTTGAGCTGACCACTTAACAAGAATGATTATGCACGAAGAAAAAGTGTAGGTGAGAGTTTTTGCTAGTGGGACTTTGTTAAGGCAGCCACAAGACAACTCGTAGGACAACTCGTCCAGTAATTTGTCGGTATGTGTCGGTTTCTTGTAAACTGTTGTCCATAGTGAGTTGTCGTCACGGCTTACCAGGTAGTAAACTGTATGTCAGTGTTTAGTCCGTTAAGGACTATCGACAACAGTCCTTCTTAGGACTACACTCACCCAGACGACCCAAACTACACTATTAAATGTTACCCCCGGGTTCAAACCACTTGCTGTATTTGTTAATATTCAGAACCTGTCCTTTGTGAGGGATCTCCAAAAATAGCTATCCTAGGAGATGGTTGGACTGTTGTCACAAAGGATGGTAAAAGGTTGAGTACACCAGTTTTTATTCAATCAGGCGTAATAGTTAGTGATATATGAATACAATTTAGTAACATTTGTCCTCATGTGGCGCGCTGCAGAAGAATAACTATTAGCTGAAAATTGTGCTACTTCAAGTTTGAAGGCTCAGGAGCTTAAGGGGCTTGAGGAACCATTCTAGGCCAGTATAAGTCAGGATCAAGGGTTTGCTTGTGGGGAATTTTTACCAAATTCAAGAAATGAAAAGGTCAAAAATGTACCATGGCAAAGCATCATTTCAATTCTTACTTAAGATTAATGCAACTGGTTGGAAAAGATGAAGGACTACAACAACAACTTTATGTCTTAAAATATGTCCTGCGAATACTGATGAGGGAAAGCTACTCTAACATCCTTGTTGTTTCTTCAGTGGATGTTGAGACGAGTGTTATCTGTTAGCTCATTCCAATGCAGACAGACAGTATTGTCATTTTTAAACTTCTCGTTTTTCATGTATGACTTTTTCCGTCTCTTTCTCTCTCAGGACGGCACAGTTCGAACACACTGTTTTGATAACAGATTCTGGTGTTGAAGTACTTACTGCTGATACCAAAGATTGACATTGAAAAAACTAAGGAAGAAGAGTTTTAATTTATTTTGTGTTTTATGAAGAACATCACAGATAAATAATTAATGAAACAAATTCTGCCTCCTCTGTGGTAATTTCAAAATATTTTTGTCTTTTTGCAACGTTTTGTGAATCAAAACTTACAAGGTCATATTATTCCAAGTTGTGTTAAAAGATTAAAGATGTGTTTTCTTAACTTACTCTTTCTACATTTTCTTTGTGAAACGGAATCTTACTTTTTGTTTGAGGTTGTTTGACTTGGATATTTTTTCTTGGTTTAAAATTTTTTCAAGAGATTTTGATTTTTTTACTGTCCTTTGCTTCAGATTCATAGTAATGAATAAAAGAGTTTGGAAAATAAAAATGGAACTGCTTCAAAAATAAAAAGATAAAATATTAGAAGAAAAGAGATACTCTTCAGTCTAGTCAGGATGGCTTCCCATTGATCAGGATCCCTTCCCGTTTAAACAATTGGGTCAAAAGCAGGGAAATCATTTAATCATACAGTAAGATTGATGCTCCAACTTTTTTGGTGAGTCTAACTGTTTTATTTCAGACTCAACATTTCTGACTTATCTTTTAAGGCTCAGAGAAAGAGAAGGGAGGAAAGTTTGAAACTTGATTGCTGGCTCGTCAAAATTATTTTATCCTGCATAGGGTTTTTCAGTTCATGAATACACCTCACCTATTTTCGATTCGGTTTTGTTCTTGTGTTTACTCAGAAACAATTTTGCTCTTCTTTGGAATTCCTATAGACCTTATAGCATCTTGTGCATCAGATCTGGAGCCACGCAATATGCACAGTGTTCTTTAAAAGTACTGGCGTACAGTGTTTTCACCAGCTACTTGTTTCTGAAACACTTGCAACATAAGCAGTAAAACACCTGTGTGGATGTGAAACACATTTGGCTGACGTTCTCTTATGACTGGCCTTAAAGAGTCGTGAGAGTATAGTATGTACCAATACTTCACAATGACCAAGAAAGTTTTCCCTGTGTTGCTTGCACACACTGCATGCCTATGCGTTAGCTGTAAGTCCATCATGCAGTGCGAAACTAATCTCGCACCAGTGGCACACATTTTTTGTCGTTTCGGTGTTGCGCCATTCCTTGATTATTAGGAGATAAATTCCTCTTCCTAAACGATTTGTTTACGGTTTGGCTCTAGCTAAGGTCGAATTTCCTGGTTTTATCGATTACTTTACGAGAAATGCATCTGAAGAGTTCTGCTGGACGTCCAAAAGGGAAGTGTAAAGGAGCAGTTGCTTTGACCAAGAAAGACAACATGGCGGCTGAAGTTCCCCTCACCAACCGCCACGTGGAAAAGCCGGTTACTAGCGGCTATACTTTCTGTGCGTCGCCTCTGTACGAATCCAAGCCTCGTCTTTGACACTGGTAAGATTTAATTATACGTAAACGGCCACTTTTCCTTTGTTGTCTCTGGACTTTGCATGCTTTCCGAAGAAGTGAACTACAGGAACACTAGATCAATCTCTTGATAACATCGCAAAAATTGTTTACATGAAATGCTCTGAAGTTTGAAGTTTCACCTGTTACATTTTTAACTAAGTCTTTTGAAAGGACTTTTGATGTTGATAGTGGCACACATTTTGACGATCGATCTGAACGAAAGTCCTATTTCTCGGCCCAATTGGTGTTTTACAATCTAACTCGGGAAACAACCAACTCATCATCTTGAAATACGGCGAACTTCTCTGATATACCCCCTCTTAAGTGCTATTTTCAAACTTTTAACTGATTAATTAGATCGTTTCGTGTCTTTCAGCAATAGTTAGTTAATTTTCCCCATTTATTACTTAAACTTTCATCGCTATTTGTTCTTCCGAGAACTTTGCTCTCCTATTGTGACACCTACCTTTTAACCTGAGATACATGGTCAAAGGACATATTCATATATGGCATCTGTAAATCTCTCAACCAGAATAGATATGGACTTTTTTGCAAGTTATTGGATACTTTTAAATCGAACATTAAGACCTTTCCTTTCAAACGTTTCTATATTTGATATGTTATATAATTATTTTGTTGTTTATATTGTTTGAAACTTTGTTGCTTAAGAACTTTCTTCTATAGAAGTTTTGTGTTGATATTATGTTACTTACTTATTTAATGGTTTCAATTATTAAAAGAACACTGTTTGGTACTCTGTAGAAAGAAAACCATACAAGTGATATATTTTATTATTGTTATCATTATTTCATTCTTAACTGTATATCAGTTCATTTTTTCTGTTTTTGTAAAGAGTGAAATACCATTTTAACCCAAAAGAGTTTTTAATAGAAATTGGGCCAAGTTAGGGGTTAATGAGGACCAGTGAATACCTTATCTCAAGAAAGTTGTGTTATTAACAGTTCAAAGCTGTAACATATCTTTACCTTTCTGTAGGGGTTTATGACCTTGCTTCCCCAAAAACTGAAGGTGATCTTCCCAAGACTTCAGTTCTAGATGAAGGTGACAGCCTTTGGTCTGTTGATTCTGTTCCAGATTGGAACAAGGCAAATCCTGGAGAACTTTTCTTCGACCAAGTGGCTGAACTTGAGAAGCTCATACCAGGGGAGAGAAGCAAGGGACACTGTTTGGAGGAGTCTTGGATGGCAGATGTGGAGTTGCTTAAGAGTGAAGAGACCATCAACAACTGGACTGGTCCAGAAGAAAAATTTGGTGGAATTGACCAACCTGATAACATTTATGTCAGAGCACAGAATGTTGGCTTGGAAATTTGTGGCGAAAGGGAGGTGGAAAGCAAAGCTTTCATTATGATTGAGCAACAAACACTTGAGCATTTAGATGTGCTGAATGGGGAGGCAGCAGGAGCACTATTTGATGTCTCCCAAGATTCTCCTTCATCAGTTGGAAGTTCTTGCGGTGATGAAGTTTCAGACAAGAGATTAAGGAACAACCAGGCTTCAAGAAAGTTTCGTCGTGCAAGGAAAGAAAGAAATAATTCATTGTTTGTGAGAGCATCAAAGTTAGAGCAGGAAAACCAGGCCTTGAAGCTTCAAGTTAATCAGATGCTTCAGGAAGTAATTTCTTTGAGGTCTATGCTCTCAAATAATACTTTTCCCAGTCAATTTTGACTTTTTTCAATCAAGATTTGGTTTCTTATTTTGTTTAAGTATACCAACAATTGTGTAAGAAAAGTTTCAAAGTTGATCACTTCATAGTAGTCTTATTTAATTACTGTCCCAAGAAATTTACATTTAAAGCATGTTATGACCACTAGTGTTAGACTGAAAGAATTGTTTTCAAAAATTAACATGCAGCTTTTAACAAAGTTCACTTTTGTAATCTCAAGACTTAATAGATTGTGTGTTTGATTACTTTTTTATGTCATCTGTGCTGCTTAAAAGATCTAGAAGTAGTACAATTCTCTGGTGTTGGGTTAAAATACCCCCTTTAGAACTCGCACACTATTCTAAAGTATATTCTCAATTAGATAATTTTTTTTGTAAGAGTTAGCAAAGAGTTTTGCAAGAGTTATGCTGTTGTTGTGCAATGCTTTTGTAGTTTCCACAATCAGTTCAACTTGTTGAAGTATAATTTTGAAGGACTCATAGGACTGTTTCTGATTAAAAAGTGTAAATTTGGTGTTCCAATGACTACGTAATATGATTTAGACTTAATGAATATTCTTATGTGGTAGGATTTCTTTTGTCTATTAAAATGTTTAGTCATGTCAGTAAAGGTGCTTACCATATTTCTTTTGTGTGGTCATCAGATTTGTACCGACTGAGCTAAATTATTGGTAGTCCATATTTGACAAATTAAAGCCCTGGGTGGAAACAAATGCAATTTGAAGTGGCTGGCTAAAGATAACATGGAGAGTCAGTGGATTTCAACTTAATCATTTCCCTTTTTGCTCTTGTTCCTTTGTCACTTTAGTACTCCAGACTTATCCTAAATAACTCTCTTCACACTTTCTCAAGTGACCATAAAACAAGTCACAAACTTTAAAAAAGTTGTGGTGGACAGATTAGTGTTACCACTGTACCTGATAATATTTCGTGCTACATCCTTGATGTGTGCTTAGTGAAAAGTAAAATGAAATTTGAACCAAGGATAAGGAACCCAGCGGACAATGATAATGAAATTTAATAATCGCGTGACGTCCTCTGGATTAGAGAAGCCTAGGAACTAGTCAATGCAGTTACTCGGTACCCGATGGTAACGATGTTAAATTCGAGTTTCTCTCTCACTGACTAATCGTTGTCCCCACTGTGCGCGGTGGAATGCTTCCCACGAGGACCCGACAGTTTTTCTCTCCGACCATCCTGTTCGCTCTCAAGTCGTCCTTGAATCGGTGTATTTTGCCAGGGTTTGGGGCGCTGCAAGATGGCGGACTGTTGTTGGAAACTCCATTGTCCAACTCGTGCACTGTAAGCTCTACAAGTTGGATAAGATAAAAACTTTATTATTGTGTCGAAATCGCTAGCATACAGTATATTAGCGAACGTTGAACTGATCATCGTCACTTGAGTGGTCGGCAACTTTTTTTGTTTTTGTTTTGGTTATTTTTGCATGAGCCCTATTGCAGGGCGAAATTCCCAGACATGTTTATTTGGTGTGAAATGACGAAAACATACGCTTAATTATGATGATCATGACGCACTTTTGTTGCAAAGAGGTTGAACTGTTAAAGTGAATGGAAATATGGTTAAAGTTACTTACATTATTTGTGCATCAGCTTTTTTCGTTGTAAAAGTTATATCTACAACTTACTGCTAGGAATAATGCAGAAAGTTCACGGTTATTAAATGCCGGTAAAACAACTGCAACTGCAGTCTTTTCTACATATATGGCCGCATACTGGTGTCAAATCCCTCTTAAATCCTATCCTGCTTTGTAAGGGAAACGAGAAGTTTCTTTTTATACACATTTTTTATTCATTTTTTATTTCAGGTTCGTTTACTATCGACCACTGGTGTCTCAAGACAAAAGGATTTAAAACATTTCAAAGCTGGAGCCGAGAAAAGAGACAGCGTAGATGATGATCGTACAAGGGGCAACGAGATCTACAGAATGCCACATCCTATTTGGTAGGTTTATTTTGCAAAAATACATAATGGAATAATTTGGACAAGAAATCTGAGCCCCAGAGATATTTTAGGTACATATTAATTCATAATTGTCTTTATTTTAGTCAAAGCTTGTTCAAATTTTAGACTGATGTGTGAACCCAGGTGGTGTACACTCAGGTTACCATATTTCCTCGAGTAAGTGTCTGAGCGCTTATGTTATATTTTGGCTAAAAGGAGGGCTCTTAGTCAAGGGAGGTGATTGTTAAGTTAGCCCAGCAATGGGATATAAATTAAAAGAACAGATAACATGCATAAAGGAACTCTGCAAGCACATGGAGATAGAAATAACTAGAGGTGACATGATGGAAAAGAAACTATTCTTCTGTACTGATCCTGCTGTAGTTTAAGCTTGAAAAGTTATATAAAGAGCCAACACATACAGGTTTTCTTTGTATCCCTTCTATTAAAGAAAGTGAAGGAGGAGGGGGTAACTCATTCCAGAGAGGCACAGGTTTGACATCTCAGCCCAGGGGGTGGACTCTTATTTGGGGAGGGTGATTTTTAGAGCATGGGTGGTTTTTGGGTTAGTATAGTGTGTTTCTCTGACAAAAAAAAAAAATGACATATGGACTTTTGATATTTAACTGAACAGAAATAAAAAAGTTACATATCAACCAACAGCTAGTGTGACACTATTCGAGATGAATTACTATTACTGGACTTGCAAAACTTTTGCAAGGCACTCTCTGATTTCCCTGACTCCTGATTAATCCTTATGTTCAGACTTGAATTTTTGTCACTATAACAAACACTAATTCTCAAGTCAACTTCCATGGTGCAGACAATTTAAATACATTGAAATAATTTATTACAATGTAAATTTTGTGCTAAGATTTCAAATTTTATAAGTCCTCGGTAATATTTTTTGTAAGGTCAGAGCAAGAAGTTAATACTGTAGAAGTTACACATCAAGAGACAAAGACAAAAGTTGACAAGGTATTCTTAAATATGGTAATAAAAAAATGTTTACTGTACATCAAACATCTTCTCATTACAATTATTACAGTTTTCCTTATTAGTGAAAATCATCAGAACCTTTGTCAGTGCAAGGGTTGGCCTGCTGGATTCCAAATTGAAATGTCTGAGTTTTGGTCCAAGTGTAGAGAAAATGTGTTATCAGACTGAAAAATTGTGAGGGGCAAAACTTAAAAAAAAACTACTAGATTACGAATGGACTGGCATCCTATCCAGGAAGGAGTTAAAATACTCCTGGTCATCTAGATTAAGCTTTCGCACAACTGTGTGGCCCAGTATGGAAAGTTTTACTCATTCATGTATTTATAGATCCATTATTTTTATTAACTTTAGGCTGGCAAGCAATAATCACGAAGAACCTAAGTTGATCTCAGTACACAAAAAGTTCATTTATATAGGTTTTATTTTCTCTTCTTTAAATTTCAGATTGCCTATGGCTGTGTGCAATTCTTGAGGATAGCATTTGATATTGTTTCTCTCTATAAAGTTGGAAAAATGACAGAGAACAAGTGGTTGAAGTAAGTTAGCATTTTAGCAGTCTTTTAGTCCTTAATTACCGGTTGTTTGTGGGAAAGGGCAATATTGAATTGATCGTGGTCTCATGCCTCAGTGTCAGGATAGTTGGGGACATCTTCATTGAGGCATTGGTACTCATGTCACTCAGTTTATTAAATGAGGACTGTCAGATGACCATGGATAAACTGTCTACCAACAAATTTATCATGGAGATCTATAATATTGCAAATTGAAGTTGTATTGTCTAGGGAATGGAATTAGAAGATCCCTTCATTCATTTAGATTATCAGGTAGTTCATAGGTTCCTAACTCCTAACTAAATTTTAAAAAAGTCATTTTCAAATTTCATGTTAAAATTTCATGTTAAAGAATGCGTTTCACAATAAGCTCTATTTCCCCTTGTTAACCGCTAAATAGTTCGCCGTGTTGTTATTTCATGCTGTTTTTTGAAAATGGAAATAAATGTTTTATATTGATGTACAAAATTAAAGCAAGTTTCTTTTTGGTAAAATGGAGCATCTTGTGTCTTCACATAAAAAAATAAGAACAGTGATGTGTTTTCTATTTCCCAACAGTCGTATCATTATGTTGGAGACAGTAGCAGGAGTGCCTGGAATGATTGCGGCGATGGCTCGTCATTTTGATTCACTGAGGAAACTTACGAGAGATCATGGATGGATTCATACATTGTTAGGTATTGACTCTTAATATGAATTGAAGGTGCAGTGGTGAAGGTATCACAGAGGAAAAATTAGCGTTTTCATTCAAACTGAGATGGCGGAAAAAATTATGCGCGCTGTGATAATATCCCAGTAAACGTATTCACTTTCTTTAAGCTTAATAAACACTGATTTCGGATTAGCCTGCAGTGCAGGCGTCTTGTTAGAGCGAGCTAACGCTAAAAGCTCGCGATCGTTTGTTTGACCGGCCATTTTTGACCGTCGACCCCCCCCCCTTGGTATAAATTTTTTCCTCTCCCCAGCCTTCCGCTGCCATTAAAATCAAAGATGGCGGACATAATATTCGTTATGAAATTACTTAGCATTTGCTAGCCTAAATTACGCCTGATTTGCAGGCTAATTTTGGATATGTAATTTGATTTTATAATTTGATTGAACATGATCGGAGCTTATGCTTTAACGCCGACACGTTTTACATAATAAGTTTATTAGACGACGCGTTCTAATCAATAAGTTTCTTTTATATTGGAACGAATCGGAACGTGATCTGCACATATTGAACTAAAAAAGGGTGTCTGGGATTTGTATTTTAACGCCTCGTTATATTTTAATCATTTTTTTTAATTTTTAACCAGTATTACTTTTGAGCAAAGTTTTCAATGTAGACGCTATATCTCGAGAAATAAGGAAAAAGTAAAAAATCCGGGACATGCTTTTGGGTATCAACAATATCTCCCAATTTCACGAAAATGGACCGAATATCAGCCGAGAATGAACTCTCAAAAGATCTGAACTGAACTCTCAAAAGATCAGAACTCGAGCCAAAATACTTTACCAGAAAAAGCGACTAGAAATTTTTCGGGGCGTCGCTGTTTGTTTACATAAATGTGTTCCCGCTTCACACCTGTGAAGGCTGTTATTCAACCACATTGAAGCAAGCCATTTGACACTGCTCTGCCTGTACAAGGAGAAGGAGCAGCGCAGAGGGAGGTTGGGCGATAAAACGAGCGGATCCGAGCTGGTCCGAGCAAAAAGGTGTAATGCAGTCGACTGGGACCGACTTCAAACAAACATTGGCTTTTTCTAAAGAAGATGGTGGCAAGTTCGGCAATTTTGGATGAGCTGGAAGAATTGTTTGACTGGGATCTCTAACGGATGACCATTTCTGTTCTACCAATGTCATTATGTCATCGCAGAAGTTTGTTATTGATAGGTTGACAGATAGAGGGGTGGATGGACGGAATGATTAAAAAGATTTAAAAGGCTTCCAGGTAAACTTTGAAACATTTGTCTTATTAGTTCCTTTCAAATTCTGACAGCTATCACTTAGCAAGCGCGAAAAAAAGCCTCCTCTTTTGAATGAACAACAGTAAAACTCGGGTTAAAATAACATTCCGAGGTTTTTTCTGCGAAACAGTCAGTGATCTTAAGAAAAGTATTATTCATTTCCATCGACGATTAATGTACGAGGATTTACCTCTGCTCTGTCAGTTTTGAATGGCAAGGAAAGTCATTGTAAGTAAATTTAAAATGGATGTTTTTTGAGTATTGAGAATTAGTTCATTTGTTTGCTGCAGTGACGTGTGCAAACCTTGTCTTTCTTCCACCGAAAAGCTGAAGTAAAATGAGGCACTTTATCTCGAAACAAGGGAATGAATGCGGCGTTTATTCGTCGATTTTTTGCGGTTTCTTTGGCGGAATACGTTGCAAATTACCACATTCAACGGACTAGCAAAGACGACCCGAAAGTTTATTCGTAGTAGACCTCACAACTTAGCTCAACGTTTTGCAAAGAACAATTCAGACATTAAACGAATACACGTTACGTTGATTAATGTAATTGTAAACTTGTAATTGTAAAATTGTCCTCTGCCCCATGGCACGTTGGACAATTGTTTGATGACGTCGACGATCAAGTTTACGTGTGGAATGCACTTATGAACAATATACTGGACGAAGTGGCACCTGTGAAAAAAATGCGTGTGCGTGATAAAGATGTGCCCTACATGACGTCTCATTGGAAAAGTGCGATTAGAACTAAACGCAAAGCAAATGACAAGTACTTGAAAGACAAAACGCCAGAAAATTGGGAATTACGACGTAAAGCCAGAAAGGAGGCCACTAAACAAAGAAGAATCGCCATCAAACAGTACTGGTATAATAAGTCAAACGATTTGAAAATCAATCCCAAGGCGTTCTTCAAAACTTTCAAGCCATTTTTGGGCTCTAAGAGCTGTACTGAAAGAAACGACATCCACTTAAAAATAAACGGCAGTATGATAACGAATCAACAACAAGTGGCTGAGGAATTGGTTGAGCATTTTGCTACCTTGGCGGATGGCATTGGCGGTACAGCGATTGAAAGAAAGTCAATAGAGGACTTTAGAGACCATCCTTGTGTTCAGAGGATACAACATGAAAATAGGAATTCCACTCAGACCATCGAAATCGAATTGGTTACACAGGGACAAGTCCTTGCAGTTCTCGATTCGCTGAACATAAACAAAGCCACCGGCACTGATGGAATTCCTTCAAAGGCTTTAAAAACAGGTGCTAATGAATTATCCGCTCCACTAACCACCTTGTTCAATTCTTGTATTAACAAGAATGCATGGCCTAGTGAATGGAAGTATGGGCATTGGGCCCCAGTATACAAAAAGGATGACAGGAATGCAAAGGAAAACTACCGGCCCATAACTCTCTTACCATGTGTAAGTAAAGTTCTTGAGAAGTTGGTTGGAGCGCAGATCAACTCTGGCTTTGGTAATCGCATTTACCAACACTCATCCGCTTATCGCAAAGCTCACAGCTGCGAAACAACATTGATCAATTTAGTAGAAGATTGGAGACTGGCGAGGGATCGAAAACAGGTTGTGAGCATACTTTCAACTGACATGTCAAAGGCATTTGACTCGTTACACCCACCACTACTTCTGAACAAGCTTGAAGCGTACGGTTTTCAGGAAAGCGCTATTCAATTTTTAAACAGCTATTTAAATGAACGGAAATATCAAAGTAAAGATCGGCCGTCATGTTAGTTCGAGCCGATTCGTGAGTCGTGGCTGTCCTCAGGGTTCCGCGCTTGGCCCGTTGTTATGGAATGTTTTCCAGAATGACCTATCCTACTGCCTAACAGCGAACTTGTCTATGTATGCCGACGACCATCAAATTTACCACGCAGGAGCAGACCAGGCAGCTGTGACTTCCCAGTTAAAGGATAGTGCCAACTCAGCAACAACGTGGTACGATTCTAACTTATTGGCGGGAAACCTCAAAAAGTACCAAGTTTTGAACTTGGGCTTCACTCAAAATGACAGCAATATTTGCGTGAATGATGTTGTGATTGAAACTAAAGATAATATCATACTTCTAGGAGTAGTGTTAGATTCTAAGCTAAATTTCTCTGAGCATGTAATCTCTATCTGTAAAAAGCCAGCCAGAGAATTGGTGTTCTAATGAGACTACGTAATTTAATTCCTATGAAATCTAAGTTAATATTATTCAAAAGCGCGATATTACCATTCCTCACGTACTGTCACCTAGTGTGGCATTTTTGTAAAGCGAGTGACACTCGAAAGCTTGAAAGACTACAAGAAAGAGGACTTAGAGCGGTTTTCAAGGATAATAATTCTAGTTATGAACAACTATTAGAGAAGGCAGATCTGCCAACACTACTAAATAGTCGCTTACAGGATCTGTGCATCCTTATGTATAAAGTAAAGCATAAACTGTGCCCTGCATATATAAGTAACATCTTTAAAGAACCAAATAGTAATTACAATCTGCGGCAAGCAGATTTTTCAATACCTAGGTATGAGACAGTCACCTATGGCAAGCACTCTATTAGATATTTAGGGCCTAGGCTATGGACAAAACTACCCAAGAGTATCAGGGACGTCACAACCCTAACGTCGTTTAAAAGCAAGATACGCCAACTCAATATAAGTGAACTTTTAGATGATGGCTGCGCAGGCTGTAGCCTTTGTTCATTTTGACTTCTGTGTATTTTTACTATAAATTTCTTAATGAGTTAACTATAGATATTTTACCTACTACTGTATATAGTTTTTTTTTAGTTTGTATATTCTCCCCTAATTGGTGTCCCCAAATTAGTAAGGGATTTGTTCCCTAGCTAGACGGTTTTTTGACACTTTAATAAAGTTTCTATCTATCTATCTATCTATCTATCTATCTACAAAAACCTCATGTTGTAACTTTCTTAATAAGTACTCTTTTTAAGGTTATTGACTAAATCACAAACGGTTTTTAGGGCACGTGTCAAGAAGTTAACCCAATTTTAAAATAACACATTTGCCACCACTGAATTAATTTCCAAACCAATTTTTTGCAGGAAACCAAAGCGGTTATTTTTACTTGATCATCACGATCTAATTACTTCCTTCCATTTTTTCGTTTCTCCCACGTGTTGTTTTCGAGGAGCCAAAGTTTCTGTTCTTGTTAGTCGGTAGGTTTTTTGTTATTGTTGTTGGTGTGGACAAGCATCGCTTTGAAATGGTTTCCCCAATTCTTTCGTCACTTTGATAATGTGTTATCTCTATCTCCCTCGACACATAGGCGGTAAGAACTAATATCTTTGGAAATAGCAACTAAATATAGTACATGAACATCGAGTATAGCCAACAACAATAGTAAGTAATCTTCGTTCAATGATGACTTGTAGTTTGCAGATTGTGCAGATCGTAATTACCAGTACTTAATATAATTATGCTAAAGTTAAAAACCTTGCCAACACGTATGTTAACTGATATAGTTTTACCATTTACTGTCTTTCATATGACTCTCCATTCAAAGGTAGATACGCGGGGTGAGCGCTCGTGCCAATCCTACTCCGCACCACACATTGCTAGAGCGGTGTTACAGTGTTTTGGGTAACCCCTTACCAAAAACACTTAAAGGGAATTAAACAGGAGATTGGGGAAAGTAACATGGAGTCAGTCATATTTGTGGTGGAAAAAATATAATTTATGGCAGAAAATTGTCACCCAAAGTTAATTCTCGCACCTGAGATTGTGGTTGGTGAAGAGAGAAGTGTTCATTTGTTGTCTCTAAATCGAAAGAGTGATCAGTCAGCAGTTTCAAGTGTGTTGCTTTGCAAGTAAATAGTAGTGAATAAATAAATGAATAAATAAATAAGTGCAGTTTAGCCAATCAATTTTAGACACACACGGAAGGAAGATCTTTCCACTTGTTGGAATTTCGCGTTTGAGAAAATGACCGAAACCTTGTACTTTTCGATTGGCCCTAACCTCTGCTGACTCTGGGAGTAATCATAACTGTCTGACTTGTTGAGCATGTATGCGTGTGTGTGTGTGTCTTCTTGCTTCAGTGACCTTTGCAATGTTATCAGAAATTTACTACGATTTGGGACAAGTATCTTGGCAGCAGTGAATCTCTGGGATATGAAACTCTTGTCGCTTTTGGACATGGTAACAGCTTAAATAAAATAAAATTTCAGAAGTTGATCAGTGAGATCTTTATATATTTTTTTATGATATATTAAATTTTCAAGAAATTGAAAAAAAGAATGAATTTTTTCCTTCTGTGATACCTTAATTCATGAATTTCTACAGTAATGATAACAAATAAAGATGAATGCAATGTCAATTATTTATTACATTTATTTTTTTATCAGAAGAGGCAGAGAATGAGAGAATGCACTTAATGACAGCATTGGAGTTGAAACAACCGGGTGCTTTATTCCGAGGAGTTATATTACTTGCTCAAGGTGAGCATAAATTATGTTACTGTAAAAATAATTTGTTAGAGTTAGGCAGTTCCTGTAAGAAAAAGAGGGTTGATTGACCATTTTTCTTTATTAATATGATTAAACGTATACTAAAAAACCAAAGAAATTTCCTGCAACGTTGGTTTTCTTGATTTCTTCCTTTTTTGCGCAAATTGTAGGTGTCTTTGTCAACTGCTTCTTTGTGGCATATATATTAAGCCCCAGGTTTTGTCACAGATTTGTGGGATATTTGGAAGAAGAGGCAGTCAAGACTTACACCTACTGTTTAAAGGTAATTTAAAATCAAGAACTTAACCCTCTCAGCTTTGTTTCGTTCCTTTATTAAGTCAAAATTCCTCGCAAGAATTCAGGATCTTTTCTTCCAAACTAATGCACATTGTGACCATTGCTAAAATACATTTGATAATGGCTACTGCTTCTGGTCTTCAATAAAATGGGCAAATGATTTGACGAAAACACTTCACCATGACACGAACTTTTTTTTTTTGCGTTTTCTGGTTGATAGCTGTATTTAAAATTTAAATTCATCGACCTTATCACCTGGCGAGTTGTCCTTGACCTTTCTTTTGTGCATTGAAAGTACGATTTGGCGGCCAAAAAAGTATCTCCATCTAGCGCGCGGCCAAAACGATCATTGTTTTATAGCTCTGACTTAAAAAACTATGAAGACAAGTCGAAAACCATGGTGGGGAAAGGAGAAATCAAGAAGAGAGGACGAACATGTTGCGTGTCCGGAGCGCAACATGTATATCTATTCACTTCTTTTCAAAGGATGCCGCTGTATGGCCAAATGGACGCGTTTCGATAGTCGATATCGAGAAGATTTGCTCTTTGCTCTCGTCCTTGTGTTCCGTCCTGGCTTCGAAGACAGCTGTTACGCACATCACTTACCGCTGGTCAAATCAGGAGAAGATGGCCAATTAATTCAGCTAAGGAGAATGCCGATAAAGGGGCCTGTTCCCACACCAAAAACGACTGTTGCACATTCTTTTCGGCTGACATTTCGTAGGCGAAGAATGGCGAGCTTCTTATTGTTGTTTATTTCACGCGCTTGAGATGAACTTGTGAACACAAATATTAATGAATTAGATGGTAGCGAATCCAAGTGATCTTTGAAAGTCGATCAATGAATGCGAAATATTCATTTACAACACCGATGTCAGTTATTTGCCAGCGAGCGAAATAGGTCATGTAGCAATGCTGCACTTAAACTAAAGAAGTTTTTCTCTACTAAAATCCCTATTTTAGATAAACTTAAATCAGACGAATTTAAACACACTCTTTTTCCGTTTGACCGGCTGGACGACGATAGCCTCTGTCTTTGCAATCTCTGAGGAAAGGAGCAACTTGCAGTTGAACTACCCAATGACTTCTCGGCGAAAATCATTGTGCCTCATGATACAGCTGATTCTTTCGATGTTGCCGTCAAAAGTTACCTTTTTGGTTTGCTTAGGGAATTACTCTACGGCAACGAAGCTCAAGAGCAATCACCAAGTGGAACCTTCGCTGCACTTAATGCGAAGGAATATGTTATGGCAACAGAAACGAACACAGCTTCAGGTCCTATTTACACTACTCGTTTCAGTAGTGTTCTTAGCTGCAAGGATCTCTTAAACCGAGATTTAATATTTCTGAACTTTTTCTCTATCGGAAGAATAGTATCTTGGCCTATCTTTGTTTTTTCTTAGCAATTGATAAAAGCAGTGGTATCCTAAATATAGGGTTGTTGCAATTGTGCGATAAGCTGGAATAGTTCTCCGCAAAAGATGATATTCTCTCAGTAGGGCCGTCACAACCTGAGATCAGTTATAGGTCTACCGACCGGTACTGGTTTGTGTATTTTTGTGAGCGTATAGAATATTGATGTTCTAGGCGGATTGGGAGTTTGTGAAAGCCATTTCTCAGTCATGTCATCAATGTGTTTGCCCTGATGCATTTGGTCAATGACCCTTTCCCTTTCCTGCGTGTTTTTATGGCTACTGCGTCCTATGGAGGCAGTAGCCATACATTCCCTTGTTCTTTTCAATGCTATAAAAATTGTGCGGTATCAGTAGCCATATGCAGTCTTAGCTGCCTATTTTTTTACTATCGGTGCTCTGAAAGGTTTGTAGTGAACTCTATTGCCGAGGTGCACTTTAGCCTCTTCTATTTTTTTTTTCTGTCTTATTTGTGATGACTGTTGTTGTCTGTCTGTTTTTTGAGGTTTAAAGCAGAGTTGTTTTTCAACTCTTTTGGAGCCGTGACCTCATTGCGTGACAAATTATTTCTTGGCTTAGTTACGGTAATCTCTGCGAGTTGTGCTTTGACAATTTCCAAGTAGCCCTCAGGCGCAATAGAAAGCTGAACCGGTGGCATCCAGTTTGATTTAACATTAAACGGATGTGGCTCTTTGTTTTGTCCGTGAAAGATGTATTGGAGGCGTATTCGTCTTGCAAATTGTTCAAAATCTCGCTAGAGTTGTTGCCTAATTTTACATTCGTTTGTCACGAGTGTTGCGATTAATTTGAGACCCTTTGATGGCACGCTGACTTGACTGTCAGAAAGTTGACGGTTTGAGAGCTTTTTAGGAATTTTTCATTTGTCTCCCTTTCTTTGGAAGTGTTTCTACGCACTTTGCGTCTTTTGCTCTTTGTTCTGCTTCCGCTGTTGTTAAGGCTAGTCTTTTTAAAGTCAGAGAACACATTGTTATATTTTCTTTCTCTTTTATTTACAAGTGTATAAAAAAGCTCTTTAGAGTCACAACTCTCATTCCCTAATTCGGCTATTGTATCATTGTTTTTTACAATGTTGGCCGAGTGCTCCTTTGAGCCGCGGTTGCTTATTTACATGTTTGTACGTCTTTGAACCAGTATTGTTTGCTTGATTGTGATTCAAACGTCTCGCTCACCTCCAATTCGTGCCCGGAATGATTTGTGATTTACATCACTCGTTTTCGCTTAACTTTCTTGCTATAATACTGATAGACTTTTCGATACTGAGCTGGTTGAATACGACCTTTTTCATTCGAGATGTTGCCACAGTGTCAGCGCGCTGAGCGATCACGTAACTGTGTTATTATAGCAGGAAAATCACAATACAGCTGCCAAATTTGTTGGACGATAGTCAGCGATAATGGTGTGTTGCTGCTCAGTAACTTCGCTAGAAACTGAAAAAAAAAAACAAAAAAACAAAAAAAACAGCTATCTCTTTCCATTTTAGGTTACTGTTAACATAGTCTAGTCAAAATTTTAATTTTTTTTTTAATCTTTTAGTTCGAGTAAATATCCAAGTTAAATTTGTCGAAAGAAAAAATATAATTTCTCCAAAGAACGCGGGAGTGTTTTAAGTCAGCTGGAACCGAATAGCGAAAGGTGTAATAATCCAGAGTGTTGACGTTTTTTATCTTTTACGAGGCTTTTACGAAATTCGAAATATTTCAGTTTGTTCAACTTCCAATTGAAATTATCGAGAACCAAAAGGAATATCGAAAGGCCTCACGACCTTTGTTAGCGTTTTTTTTTTGTCTGCTGGGTGACACTGTCACTCAGTTTGGATGTCTGCGTTAACGCGGAGGCTGTTAATTGACTTAAATTGACACCGTCAGTTTTGTCTTTAAGTTGCTTGCGCGTGCTTATCAAAACAAAGCTGTTCAAACTTTGTTATATTCAGAACCCATACTTTAAAGTGATACTTAGTTCGCTATGTTGTTTTCTTTCTTTAAGTAGCGCGCATAGGACGATTTTTCTGGAAGGCATTCTATTTTGTTGTCAGGAACCCGCTTAACCCGCTTAAATTAAAAAAACCAAATGTGATCTTACTGACCCTAACAAATCTTATTCTCTTGAAAAAGACGAAGAACAATATCTAGGGTACCTGCAGGCGCTGGGTGGTGTTTCATTAGTTTTCACACAAAGCAGTCGTGTGTGATCAGTGTCTTTTTCAGAGAAGTTGATATCACCGTGGCGAAGATTATGACCTGATTATGATCAGTTTGCGTACAGCGAACTTCGAGTGATTTTCGCTGATGTTTCTGAAATCGTATGAAACTTACATCAAATAAAGGCTAAGAAGAAGTAGTATATTGTGACATTAAAAGCGCGTGTAAATTGGATATGAAGTTTGAAATTTTTAAAAAGGGCTTAATACGGTGCTCTCCTAAGGTCAAAAAAGACAGGCGGTACAGCATAGACCGCACATTATAACCCACGTACTGTTTACACTGTTCTTAGTTATTTTTGTAAGGAAATGCTAGGCAAGATTGGCAAGATTTCGGTATAACTCTGACTTCATTTTGCATACATATTCCAAGATGAATGGAATAAACAATAAAAATAGTTGGGGATTAAGTATTATTAACTGAGTCGATAACGTAAATTTGCCAACTTAAAGAGTTTTAAAGCTGATGCTTCGAGGGTTACCCCTCGTCTGAGCGAATGGAGGAATTATGGGTTGTATATGTGTTTAAATGCAGAAATGAGTACAGTTGAAACCGTTTCAAGTGGCTCTGTTCTAAGCGGTCTCCCCTTATTATGAGGTGTTTTTGAAAGTTCAGTATTGTAATTTTCACCTCTATTAAACGGTCGTGGTCACCCGCAACTGAGTCCCATCGGCCTGTATTGTCTTTAACCAGTCACAAACGGTCACTGTTTCAAACGGAACTGTCTCAAATATGACTAAGAATAATCTCTAAATTATAAATTATTCCATGTTTATCTCCAGAAAATTAATGTCAGCACTCTAAATTAAATATTGAAGTGTCCTCAATACATTGCAGGTTTTCTCTCTTCCTAGTACTGTTAGGACAAAGTGGTGTTTTTTTATCGTGTCTGACCTCTTCTCTGTTGAAGCTGTATTCAGCAGTCAACCTGTCATTCTGCCATTCTATGTAAGTGACAGGTTCGACTGTAGCTCAGAAACCTCTCCAGTTACCTTTGGCTGACAAACTTAATATTTTATTCGCTTTGACTGACGAAATCTACCGTGCTGTAACAAACATTGACTTCCTCTGTTGATATGAATTAGCTTTGGAAAGGAGCTAACATTTCATTTCCTTAACGTTTTATACAGAAATTAAATTTAAGTAATTTTATGTCATGGAGGGCTGGGTATCATGATTGCTTTAGCATTTAATCGTGGTCAGCAAAACATTTAAAATACAGAGAAAGAAAATCGAAGCCGTTTATTTTGAACACATAGTAACAACAATAATTTTCTTGATGGCAGTGTATTGATGACGGAACTCTTCCAGTTTGGAGCACAAGACCTGCACCAAGCCTGGCTATTAACTACTGGAGGCTTAAAGTAGGTCACATGATGGAGTGAGCGGACAACAAGTTGATTTTAGTGCTAATGATTCAAAAGTAAAAAAGAGAAAACAATGGAATTAGTATCAAGTGGTATCTAATTCTGTGGTACCTATTTCACTCTGTTTCACGTAATGTAGTAACTATACTTAAGTTCAACCGCACAGCGGTAATTTCATTTCATATATTTCATTCTTAGGAAGATGCAGTCATGCGCGATGTAATCTTAGCGATACGAGCCGATGAAGCTCATCACAGAGTTGTAAACCACACTCTGAGCTCGATTCATCTCAATGAAAAGAATCCATTCTCTCCAGGCCAAAAGAAGCTATGACACAACAAACTATACATCACAAGAATGGGTCCGACCTGTTGGAGAGAGGATTTAATTTAATGACTTAAACATTTGATTAGTGTTTTTCATTGTTAGGGTAATTTCTGAGAAAGGATTATCGAAGGTGAAAATTAAAAGTTTCCCAAACAAAAGAAGTTAGGGATACTTGGCTCTGTGAACCTTGCCGGCTCGAATCCTTTCTTGTTCCTAGAGTCCTCACATGCAACGGTAAGTGATAACGAGTGGCTCTGGGAACGAGAATGCCTTGATTCTCATGTGGCCTTTGAAGGGCATACGCAGTGATAACCATGGTTTAGAGATCTGTCGTGATTCCTATGTCACTTCTACTGCATCTTCTGTTGTTTTCCACCATGCTGCTCTTGTGCGGCCATTCTAAGGTTACATCTTCATTAATTTTACCATAAATTTTTCTTTTTTTCACTTGAGTGGGTTCCCTTCACTTCCTCAGTCACGCACGTTTCATTCATTTCTTACGATGCTTCTTCCCGACATGGTTTGATGCTACTCTAGTTTAAGGATTTAATTTATGTAACCGGGAAGTTACAATTCATAGACCCAACGTTTCGACACTCCTGTTGAGTACCTTCATCAGAAGTGATCTAATCGCTGCAACAAGCGGTCTTTTTATATGCTCACTAATTAGCTGCCCTTTTCCCTGACGAGGTGTGAATAGGCGTCAGGTAGTAAGTTGCCATCATTACGATCTAAAGACCCATTTTCACCCTTGATACAACGCGCCCCTAGACCCAATTTCCTGTAACACGAAATTCCCAGATTACTGAAAACCTTCGAAAATCGTCTTTCTCAAAAGCCATCCTGGACATATAGTCAACTGTTTTACAGTAAATACATTCGCCGCTCGTCATTTTACAGTTTCCTTACAATATTTTGAATTTTGTCCGGTAGAATCCGAAGAAAATTTCTTTAAATGTCACGCTTGGACTGATCTCTTCGTACTCTGTGAACAGTCGGTGAAAAGGACAACGTTCGAATTTTTTCACTTTCTTGAAGCACTTGAGGATTCTAAATAAAGATAAAATGTTTTCCCATAGAAATTAGATTTTTTCAAAGAGAAATATGGAAAATGTCAGACTGCCGAACGCTTAGTTATTCGAAGACCGTGTCCGGTAGTGTCCATTGAAAATCTCATCAGTGTCACGATTGGATCTCTTCGTACTCTGTGTACAGGGTCGGCGAAACGGACGACGTTCGAATTTTTTAACTTTCTAGCAGCGCTTGAGGATTGTAAATGAAGATAGAATATTTTCCAAGGAAAAATGGGTACATCTCAAAGAGAAATGTAGAGTTATTTGAGGAGCGTGTCCAGCCGTGTCACTCAAAAGTTTCTAAGCGGGAAACTTCAACTGACCCTGGGTCCTATTTAACAAGGGTGGCACACTTCAATTCAGAAAAAATTGATGTAATAATGAAAACGTGGCGGATCAACAGTTACACCTTCGGAATGCTCGCAAGGATTTTCGTGTTCCTCTTTAGCAACAACCTATCCATAAGCATTTACTGCCTCAGAATCTACTAAATCAATGGATTCATCTGATTCTACACCGGATTAGAACGTATAGAACTGTTTTAAACAGAATTATTGTGACAAGCTCATCAAACTCATCGGAGATAACGCAGAAGCTATTTTGAGACAACGTGACTAGGTAAAAATAACTGAGCAATCAGAGGCGCTATTTAAACAAAAGCGATGGTTGAAACAAAAACAAACGACGCGTTGCATGAAGGTTGGAAATGGGCCTTTTGCCAGGCTTCCACATAAAGACACTGGTGCATATCAGCTCCGCCCACACACAACAGAGCTAGGTAGAATTTGAGAGGCAAGTTCAGATAACAAGTTTGAAAATACTATATTCTGATCGGAATAGGTTCGTTACTTGAAGAACCAGGTGGTATACCTCTGCCAGTCGTAGTGAGGATAACCACAAAATCCAACCCCCTTTCCCTCCGCCTCAGGAGTTTGTCTAATAAAACCACAGTGACTGCTCAGATCAGATTTCTGATTTAAGTTACGCATCAAACGCTAGCAGGCATTTTAAATTAATGGCCCTGATTAAAAAAAAATGAAGAAAGATAATCAACCAGAGGACAGGAAGTAATTAAAACGGTTACTTGATAAAGAGCAGAGGAACGTGATACGGAACGTGAGAACTTATTCCGCATTCCTTATTGCAGTAAGTAAATTCAAATTTCACCAAACAAGCGCGATAAGAAATAACATTTTTGTTTGTGGTGAGACGTAAAGAAAATAAATAAAACTTGATTGTTTTCTCGGAGAGATTGTTAATTTGCAATTAGCTTTTTCTTGTTTGATTGTGGCGTAAAAGATTTCCCGTATGTGTTGGTGTATTTAGGATTAATTAATAATATTGAATGTGCGGCGACAGTAGCAGTTGGGTACCATCTCAAAGGTGTTTCACTCACATAAACAACTTTCCAGCAGACTTAATTGAACCCATTTAATATCATAAAGACCGTTGAAATTTCATCATAAAGTAGCGAAAAACTTGATAAGTTGAGATCAGATAATAAAAACATAAAAAAGCCAACGACGAATTTCCTTTTCTACTTTCTTGTTTTGAAACCTGTAAGGTTTTTATACACATTTAAAATTAGAAAACTTCACCACGAAAAAAAAACTACGTTTATCAACGTGCCAGGGTTCCTTCTTCTTTACCAGCCTACTTCAATAGTGCCAGACCCAAGGCAGAGGTAACGGTCATCAGGATCACACTGAAAGAAAATGAAGAGCCCGCGTTACAGTAGTCGGAGTCACAGCACCCGACTGCGCATTTTCCCTCTTTGACGTCGTCACAAGCCTTTTCTGCAGCTGTACAGAGGGCGCTACTGCTGCAAGAGTTAACCACTTCAGTTACGTCGTCTTTTTTGCTCCAGAACCTCATGCATTTATCGGTTGGGCAGTCTACCGATTTGCTAGCCTTATCTGCTTCCAGTTTGCTCTTGCTACAGGTCTCTTCGGTTCCCGTACAAACGTAGCACTTGAGGCTGTAAGCTGAAATAAAGGAAATTAAGAAAGTAAAATTTCAGTATATTACATTTCCGCACGCCTTTTTTTCCATATATATTTCGAAGTTTTTTCACTTTCCTTACGTCGAAGCTTGTCAAATTCATTTAAGTCTAGTGTTCGCGCGCACCGGAAAACTATAGAGTGTCCATTGTGCATTTAGAAATAAACTAGCGTAATTTATGCGATATATTCGGAATAAGATAAATTTTTCTAATCTCTGAGAATGGTGGATTAATTTTTCTCATCTCTTCTCTAAGAGTGGTGGAATACAATATCAGTTACATAGATAATCCCAATTAATTGATCAAGATATTGCTAGCTACACAAGTGTTCCATTACGAGAGCTTCTAATATTGTGAAAGCGAAAGTACACCAAGGATTTGTGATATTCAAGCGATGAAGTATTCTGTTTGTTGAAAGGAGAGACTCGATTTGTGCAAAGTTGTCTGTATGTCACGATTTCCTCGTACTCGAACCGAAGAGGATTCAGAAGTATCGATGGATGCGTTTTTGGTGCGGTCAAGGTTCTGCACAAACTTCATGCCTTCTTTATGACGAGAGTAACCAAACATGACAAAAACAGGCAAATGTTCCTTCTCAAACGAAATAGCACGGAATAAATGATACTTGGAAAGTTTCTTTCATTTGTTTCCCATTCTGCATGAACAATGAAAATCTAAAGAAGGCTTCGAAACGTAATTTGACCAAACAGAACAAAGCGCGCTGGAAAGAACCCTTAGCTTAAGGAAGAATCAATAACTCGAGAAACGAAACCGGAATAAACTCCATACATGAACATCACATGCAGACAGGGAGGTTGGCACTCAGCTGAACGTTACTTACAAAAAACGCACACAGTTCAATAAGAGAGTCAACTTGTGCTTTGGCAAAGGGAAGGAAGGATGAGCTCGAATGGACGTCACGGAAATCTAGTGGCTCGAGGGAGCAAAATCATTTGATTTCAGTTTCAACGTGGCCACCTTAAACCCATTCTACATTCGTATGTACAACGAAAAACAACCCGACGCCTTTCTTTCTGTGCGTAGATGAGTTTTAACTATGAACACGTGGCAAGCGCGCTGAAACGAACTCGTAGCTTGAAAGCGATAGAGGGGTATGTCGACAGGAGAGATTGCTCGGACGGATCAGGTGGCGTCGCTGCTCTCTTATTTCACGGTTGAACTTCACAATAACAAACCGAATAAACTTACCAGTTGCAAGAACTGCACAGAAGACAAAGATGCTCAGCACAAGACCCTTCATTCTGCGTACCTCAGTGACTTTATGAACGTTGCAGCTTCCTCTGACAAAACCAGCGCCCTCTACAGACGCCGTGTAATGGGGCGTTTATATAACTGGGCTCAACCAATAAGATTACTAATTTAAAATAGCGAGCCAATCAGGAAACTCCACTTCATGCGCCTTGTTATCGGCATTAAAAGGGATGACGTCACTGCATGGTACTCTCAAGAATGCGAAAAAGAAACCGCACGTTGTTTGAAGACGGAAAATCTGAAGCGTCTTATGCTCTGATCAAGATTATTGCGTCAATACAGGGCGGAAACAAAACAGTTCGTGCACTGTATAATGTGCAGTGGAGCGTACGTGCAGGCAGATCACTAATTCAGGTAGCGCTCATGATGTTGAGAAACTTGAATTTCCGTTCTAGCGTTTTTTCATGGATCGTATCGAGAAAAAGCCTATCAGTAATTCCTTATGTACCAGCCAATCGGCAGTTCGCCGCTTTTGCATGAAACTAACACGTGCTCTGCAGCTTTCCACAGACAGCTTTCCCTCTGGCGTTGACTCAAAGGAGATTTATATAACACACATTGTGTGGTCTACCTGTGGTTACATGCGGCTGAGTTTTGCATCCTTTTGTTCATCTTTGAGGAGTATCTCTTCGAGGCCGAAAGGGTGCATTTATCTCAGCGTCCGATTTACCATCAATTGATGGGATTACTTCGATTTATAGGGTCAAAAAATATCGATTGTTACCTTGAAGCGTGGAGATGAAATGAATTGAAAATGTATTTGACAAAGAATCTTTCAATGAAATAAATAGCAACCTTGCACATCAGTGCTGTGGAGAACATATTCTCTCAAGTCTCTCAACCTACTTCATCGTGTTTTCGTTGATCTTTTAGGATTATCTATTCGAGGCCCATTGGGTAGAGTTAATGTCATCGTCAAATTTGCCATTCGATCCATGGGATTACTATGTCTCATGAGCTCAAAAACATATTGATATGTTGCTTAATACAATGGAGATGAAATGGAATGAAAGTGTAGTTGACAAAGACAATTTTTCAATGAAAGAACTTGTAACCGGAAAAAATGCTAAGGAGAAGATTTTGTCTCAAGTTACTCAACTTACTGCCGACAAACTCGGCAACACTTATCATCACAGAAAAGACACACGACTAGGCCTAACTCTAAGGGATTTTACATTTTGTCAGATATTGTGATATTCAACATTAAACAAATTAAAATGAATGTTAAAATCCCTGTTAATTGGTGCATTGTCTATGCCCTCTTTCTGTATTTCCAGATTGTGTTCCAGTTCGCCTGTGTCACTGATAGGTAAAGGCGCTAACTTCAGAACGTATTCCACGACGGTAAGACTTTCCTTTAAAGAGATTCTTTTCCTAGTATTTCTTTTGGAATGAACAACTCTTCGCTACTGTAGGAAATCTCATAGCAACAAACTGATTGCTTAATGAATAAAATGAGGCTTGTCAAGTATAACCCGGTCGTTATATGCTAATGAGAAGAACAATTCAGAACAAATGACTAAATGTTCACAATTCGAATAAACTGTGAACATTTATTCGGTCACTAAAAAATGCAGACTGCAGACCGGGTACACACACTGATTTTCACATTTTAATATAGTAGATGAGAGAAAAGTAAACAAACTAATCAGTATGTGTACACCCCTGACGCGGAAAATATATCAAGTCGAAAGAACAGTATTTTCAGTATTTTCAAGACCTCGGTCACAGTTTTTCACCATACGGACCTCCCAGCCGGCAAATAACATATATGTATTTTTGTCAACGAAATGAACAGATATCGGTGAAAATGGTGAAGAGTACGGACCACGTGCAAAGCTGTCAAATATTGCGCGTGTTAATTATTGACATCTCGCGTGCGAAGGCTGTATGAAGGCTTTAAATTCTGATATGAACGTTTGTAACTGCTTTTTTTAAAAAGCGAATTCAATAGCCGCTTTTTAAACGAAAAAATCAGCAAAAAGGCGAGTATAATCACCAGTACTACACGCATGAGTGCACCTTCAGGACCTTTATACTCCACAGTCCGATGCATTGAATCACTCGTGTATGCTCAAACTGGTCACGAGGATAGGAATAAAAGTTCAACAACATATCTATCTTTATGAAGGCTCTGAGTTTGAAGGAGAAATGTTACCACCACACACGATTTTAGACCCCTGGTGCCTCCCGTTTGCGCTTGGTGTTCGAGCTAAAATACCCCTATAGTCCAACGACAGATTAATCATTCTACAGTTATCGTTCAAATTCTCCAATCTTTACCCTACTCCTGCAACATAGGACTCCATTCCTTCTCTTAAACTTCTTTATTTCTCATTCCAGTCACGGTGATGAAATTGTATTATTAGAAATTGTCGAAATTATTTCACGCGACTTTGTTTTCCTGTTTACCAACAAAAGAATTGCGGAACATACTAAGGCCAATCACCGCTGGTAGGGTGCCAAGGACACAACATTACGTGCGGGAATGCGAACCTAACATGAAGTGCCAGAATGTTACGATAAGAACTTTTACCTGAAAAAAAAAATGCACAACGAAGTACATTCAAACAAAGAACGTCAAAAGAAAATATAAATGCATGCCCATGTCAAGTAAAATTAAGAGGATATCGAACTAATATCATCAGTTTTCCCTGCTGCTTGAAGTTCGGCTGGCTACTACTGTGAGTAAGGAAGTTTCGTAAGACACTAACGTGCGGTGAGAGATTATAAAATCACGTGTGGTAGTTAAATTTCTCCTTCACACTCAGAGCCGTCATAATAATAGATATGTTGTTGAAAGCTTTATTTTCTGAACTTCAGAGCTATTAATATTGGCTGGTCAAAAACACGCCACGTTTTATACTTTGGTTTGAGCGAGAAAATTTGAGCCGGTTAACTGATAACTGTGAAAGAAAAGCTCAAAATTTACGGGGAAAATGGAGAAAATCAAAGCCAAACAAACTCACGTGTCACTAAAAAATGTTTTAAAAGTCAAAGACCCGAAGTTATCGAGACAAATTTAAAAAACGTGTAACTTGCGAGTTTTTTTCGGCTTTATTTTTGTTGCTTGTTGGATTAGGACCTAAATGGTCAATGCCGATAGTAAAATTGGGCAGTTCTTCGCTGGTTTCTTCCATATTTCAAAGAGAGGGAAAACTGCACTGCAGCTTAACAGGAAGGACACTCTGTAGCTTGTCATAACACCTATGTTATTATTCCTTGTTGTTTGGATTAAACTTCAGTGATACACTGTTGATACAGTATCGCAACCCAGTGGGTGGAGGACCGTCTGGAAATACGTGACCAAGATGAGAATCACACTAAGAAAAGAAATGAGAACCACACAATACTGTAAGTTGCAATTCCCTCCAACTGCCATATATCTACTCCCTCATTTGGTGGGTTATTTCATTTCTTTATTGATTATATTTCCAACATGATCATGTTTACTCCCCAATCAGGCTGTAAGTTACTGGGTTCAGTGTGCTTATTTTATTTGTTATGTAAAATATATGAATTTGTAAACCTTTATTACTTTGGAAAAAAATATCTCACCTCTTGACAAAGTACTTCAACTCTAATCATACCATGGCTGTAATCGTGCTTTTCAGCTACTGAAAGCTGAAGTGTTGTTGCATCACTAGAGGTTACTTCTATAGCAGAATGGAATGATGGCCAACCAGTGCCAGAATCAAATTTTGTGGATGAGCTGGAATTGTGTAAACCAACAAAATATTCCCTGTGGTAAGTATACATGTAAAATACAATGCATAAAGCATTAAAAGCATTAGATTTCCAAATATGACTTGCTTTGGAAAGAAGTAAAAGTTTTTTGACCATGCTCTTTCACCTTTAAACAGTAAGGATCAATAAAGCAATATAAACAAAGGTGAAATCAAACAAGGTGAAACAGAAAATACACAAGCATGACTGCACCAATCAGTAAGCACACAACAGAAGAAGTGTGTGGTGTGCAACAGACAATTAAAGGAAAACTCAGTGAGACAGCGAGGATTGAAATATGCCAACTACTGATAATCAACCAACCATAGCAGCACATCTGATGGTCACTTATAACTAGTGATCTCCTCCTTAAATTCAGTGAACTGCATTCAACAAAAAATGATTTACAGCAGTGAGGAACCAATGATGACTGTTACAAGAAAAAAAGGTCTTACCAAAACAGATCACTGCCACAGCAAACACACTTGTATATTCCTTTTCCTTTGAAATCAACATACTGACCAGACCATGGCTGCAAACAATTTTTGAGTACGTAAATGTATTCAAGTGTCAAGATTTATTCTAGTGCATGACCAACACTAATTGAGGACTGCATAAAACACAGAGATACTCAACAAACCAGAAAAAAATTAGTTATTTCAAAATTCCCAAATTCAATATTTTACAGAAGAAAATTTAAAATAATTATGGAAATAAATTACAACCTTGTGTAAACATCGGTTTTTGTCTTAAAAACACCCTTAATTTTACATAATGTTTGCCTTACTGGTTCCGTTCCCTTTTGTCTGCAGATGGCAAATTGTTCAGGAGTGAGTTTTGCTTTCCATTCAGTGTCTGGCATCTTTTGTATGGAAACTGAACAGTGAAATAAAAATGTAATCATCACTGATATACTAAATGAAACCCAGGAAAGAGGATGTAAATATCATATATGGTAGGAACATCAATGACACACTCAGCTGGACCTTGTGTACCACTTTTTTTGTTCTCACCACATTTGACGTCCTCTGTGATCTACTTAGACACACAGAAACATAGTCCAGATTTAGAGGTAAGTAGGTGGAGGGGAAGGGGGGGGGGGCAGTGTTATGTTGTGGCCCCTCATAATCTGGTCTTGCTCTTTGTTAACATTGGTCCTCCAACATCGAGTATTGGTCTTCAAACATCAGTATTAAAAAAAAAATTATTTAAGTTAGGAATCTTTTCCGTGAGTAACAAAATTTAAAACAAAACTAGGGCTACTGGGATTAATTAAGAAGTCAAGTTTTAGTGTATATACCCGTGGAAGTACCGTTTGATTTTGTTTTCAATAAGGAACACAAATTTTGAACGTTTTATTTATTTGCCTGTTTTTTTTTTCTTTCACCTTGGGTTATACATGGCCGCCCGGTTTCTCTATTTTTTCCCGTATGCTTAGCACTAACAGCTTACCGCTGGACACACATAGTCCTCGATTACATATCGTAAGTCCCTTGTGACTCATAGTAACTCGCGTATGACGACCAAGAAGCGCAATGCGTTCCCATCTGATCCAGATTTGACTACAAAGTTTGAAAGTAAATTTCGCAGTGGCCGCCATATTAGTTACTATTCATTACCAGGTCTTCACTCTATCCTTAATTCACGGTTAATGGATACCAGCTCCCTGCGCCTCTGATCTCCAATCTCATAGCAGATGCAGAAAGGCAATCCCTCGTTATCAGGCTTCTTTGCATTTCAAAATTAACACCCTAGTGATTTTGATATTACCAGAATTACAATGGGCTCATTTACATAAGGACTAATTTATTTGGGGAAAGTACTGATCCTAACAAATGTCGCGCTTAAGATACAGGAGCCCCAAATATTTTACTCTTGGTAGAAACAAAAGACAACCCTAAAAACATACTCATGTACGAATGCCACAGTTCAGTTGCTTGCTATCAAAACTGCACTCCAAACAAACAGGTTCTGCTGCCTCTACAGTGAGATAATACAAGCGAAAGAGAGCAGAATTTAATTGGACTGGTTGTCAAATTGTTTATCGAATTGATGTGTGGAAAAAGTCTAGCAAAATTAACATTCTGCGGAGACACAGGAATTGGGAGTGGTTTTTCCCAGGGACACATAATTTTTACTGGTTGAAACGGAATATTTGTATTCCTTGGGTGTCACAGGCTTTCCCACAACCCTAAATACATGGTCAATAAAAATAAGCCATTCCCTGTAACGGAGTTTGGGTTTCCTTTTGCCTTAGACAGTTAACATGTTTATCTCCTTGTGGTAACTGCGTGAAAGTTAACGTGAGGCTTTCATGAAACAACACACGCCACAATTATCATCAGTGCGAATGTCATCAACATGCTTTCTGATTATACGTCAAGGTATTTAAATTCTTGAAATTCGAAGGTATATCTCCGCGGTAGCAAAACGTAATTCAATGAAAAAACACGGAAAAACGTCCAAACAATTCCGCTCTAATTAATGAGCAGAAAAAGTGTAGAACATGATCTAACTGAAAAGTTACTGTTTAATTTTAAATCCTGGGCCTTGGTCGCGTTTCTAACGAACCGAGTCAGGACGCTGTCATACCTTTACACCAAGCACCAAGATTTATTTGGGTCCAAATGTTCCTGGCCCCTCTTTTCCTTCTTTGCACGGTAGATATCAACTACGGTAATATACGTTAACGAAAACTGAGTCATGACGGCTGACAAACCGAAAAAAAGGCTGATACTGCCTAGCAATTGTAAACTTAAAGAGGGAGCCTGCAATGCATTGGACCACCCGTTTAATACGAGCAAATGTAAATGACGCGAGAGTGGTCCGCTGAACAGTAACACCAAATCACTTTGAGTTGCTTTCGCATTTAATTCTATGACCTGATGGTCTTTGCTGACTGGAATCTACAAGAGCGGTTAGATGCGAACATTGTTAAAATAACCTAATAATCAAAAAGCATCCAACAAACAAACTAAATGACAACAATGCTCTAGTTTTGAAAGATATCTAGATTTTTCTAAAATTTTCCTCATAAAGTTAAATAAAATGGAGCTCAGATAATTAAGAAGTCTTTCATAAATTAACTTTCTTGTCTTTTTCCTCAGGGCTCGTTACCGAGGAATGATCTACAGAATCATCACTGGTTTCTTTATTTTCTTCCCCTTTTTGTGTGTATGTTTCACTGATTTCTTGTTTATCGTTTCCTTCTTTCGATGTTTTGTCTGTTTTCGCATCAGACGTGTTCGACTCTTCAACATCCATATCTTCACTTTCCCCTTCCTTAAAGACAAAAAGTTACAAGATTAAGCACACTCATTATTTTACTGTAAAATTGACCTTCACAGACTCATAAAAGTAAATTTTTATTTCAAATCGAGTTCCCTCAGTTTTCCTCCGATAAGAAGACAAAGAACCTTTTTGGCTAGCAGACTATTTGGTAAGAATCAGGACTTACTGATTCATCGCATTCCTTGCATACCCACTGATATCCTCGAGTCTTGGGATTAGCCTACACGTGATGTAAAAGTAAGAAAGCTATCAACACACAGCAATGGATAATGAACGGCAGTTTCGGGGTTAAAGGGGGTAAGTTTCTGAAGAAACTGTGGTGCCGCGTCGGTGGGAGAGTAAAAATAGATCATTTGGTTTTATCAACTGCGTTCATAGTGTAAATTGACCACCATAAAGAGTTTCAAAGTTGAGGTTTCGAGCGTTAGCCCTTCGTCAGAAGGAATGACTGGATAACTCAATTACTAGTTCTTGGGGTTAACCTAAATACAAAAGTAAGAAAGCTATTTACACACAGCAAAGGATATGTTGCGCTATAAAGTTACTTAAACTATACGTCTGTCCACACGCATCATGTGACTTTTATCTATTTGAAGAAGCTGTTAATGAAACAACTGATGGGCTCTGAGGCCTCTGTGTCGTGCTTTTTGACCAGCTCCATTTTGCTGCAGTTATACTCTATTATGTAACACCAAATCACTGGTTTCTCTTGGCTAAGTGTTTTTCTCCTTGAGCTGCTCGCAAACTAATGACCACGTGTCAGTTCTTATTGTGTGAATTACCATCACAGTCTACCTACCTTAACTGGAGGGTCAAGGCAATGAAAGTGATAACACAGCTGACAATTGTCACACCTGGAAAGTAAAGATACAGCGATAAATTACGCGGAATATACGGTAAACCCTGATGACAAGACGGTAGGATAATTTTGATTTATACCTGACAAGATTAGCATTGGTTCCACTACGTTTACACACGCTACATTCAGTCCGCACATCCACTGGCTTCTTTTTTTTGTCCGCACCCTCTGGATCTCTCCTCACAGGCCGCCGTCCTCGTTTTGGTGCAGCTTCTGAGTCGGATGATAGTTTAGGTTTCTGCGTAACACAAACCAAAGGTATCAACACTTAAAAAGGTCTTATCACGTTTTATGTCTAAAAGCAGTTTTGGTAATTTTTGCCGTTATTCCTTTAATTGTTAAAGTACGTTTTGGTCGCATTGCAGTTTTATCAAGCTATACAGTATTAAGTGAGAATTTGGGCCATGATTCTTTCTATGTATTTTGTTTTCATGTGGAAAAAGAACATACTCACATTTTACAACAAGTTGAGAGAACATAATGAATGCAACGTACAAATTAAACCTAAATCAGTAAACACTCACTTTGCTCACATCTTCGGCTTGTGCTGTGGGATTTTTCCGTTTGGCCGTCTTCAGTTTTCGCTTTTTTGCCTTAAAAAGAGGAAAACCAGATGTAATTAGTGCTCTCACCCATTATCGATATCGGTCCGGTCACCAGAGCTATTATTTGCTTGATTTCCTATACGAATATGTAACCCTTACACTGCAACTAGAAATAAGAAAAAAGTTCTCCATTTTCTCTTTTTAGTGGTTTATCTCCATTATTTTGATTGTGACACTTAAGCTAATTAGAAAAAGAGAGCATGATTAAACAACACTTACGAGTACTAGGCCTTACCTCTCCCTTGTCAGGAGTAAATTTGCTCGGCTCCTTGATGACCCGTCTGTGGCGCGCTTGAGAGATGGGTGTGGTGTCCTGTGGATCTACTTCCATTTCTTCATCATCTTCACTTGGGTCACACTCTGAACATTGCCTGTTGACACAAGATACATATCATTCTCACGGTTTAGAGCGCAAATACTTATGCAGAGGGTTTGGCTAAAGCTCTTGTACCGTATTCATTTCTCTCGACATCGCTCTCTTTAGGAGAGCGACAAGAAAGTCAAGAAAGACAAGAAAGTTAACTTGCGATCAGTTATGCAGCTACTGAAATTGTGACTCCGTAACTGACGCGGAACACACACAGATGAACTTTGCCGACTTTTTTCTAAATTAAAAAGATTGTAGCGCTACATGTTCTGTTGAACTGAACTACACCAGCCAAGTATAATGCGTTTTTTTAATCCTGTGCATGAAAGTGGTCCTTAAAAGAACTGCTGAAAGGAATTAATCATCTGTAGCAAGGGTAGTCATGAGTATGTGGTAGAAGTAAGAATAAAGTTAATACAAAGGTCCCTAGATATCAAACGCTTTTCACTTTAAACATGGTGAAGCTTGACCCTCCCCCCTAATCTCAGTCTCCAAACTGTCGCTCTCATAACCTACCATAAACACTTGGCTGAACGCTTGGGCATGCGTGTTAGAGGTGGATCGACACATCCAAGATGATAATGATGATGACACGTGTCACACTGCACCAGCTGATGTTGATTCTCTGTTGTTTTACACGTCGCACAACTGAAATATAACCCACAACAAATACATACAGATGCTCATCAAATGAAGGGAGCCACTAAGAGAGCTAAATTTGCCTGAAGTGCTTAATGCGCATGCTTTTATCTGTGTATTCGCAACCTAATCTACCAAGGAAATCATACTATGGAGTACGTTGACCTACACGTTCAGTTTAAGTGACTTAATCCTCGTCTGCGATGCTGAGTGTTTCGGCTTTTTGAGTTCTAATAAGAGTGGCTTAGCTAACTCCTGAAATCAAAAACACAGTAAAAAAGTTGCTATGTGGTCTGTAGTTATCAGAATAAAAGAAATGACTGGTTCAATATCAATATCAAAATACCGTAAACGCTGAGCTTCTTTCTTGCTTACTTCAACAAATAAATAGTAAAATTCACGATTCATGATAAGGAGCATAGGTCTGTCCTCTAACACTAACAAGTCCTGATTAATCTTACTCATGATTGAAGGAAAAAAATATATATATTTCCCTTTCCTTTCCAACTACAGAAGGAGGTAAACAAGAAAACAGAATGAATAGGAAAAATCAACTACGGTTTCCAATATTTGCACCTAACTTGAAAAGAACATGGTGAAGTTCTAATGATTCGTCTCTTCTCTCCTGGACTTCTTCAGCCAGACATTGAACGCTTTCCGTTAACTAGATTAAAAAAGAAACAAACATAACTAAAAAACCAAACGTAAAATAAAGTGAATAGCATTAACACAGTGTTTGATAGAATTTTAAAGTTTGTCTTTTTCGAAAGTTCGACTAAATTTATTTACTGACGATGCTGTCTTTATTAAATGTTATTTAAAGAAACAAAACAATGTACCCTCGTCATATCCATAAACCATTGTTTCTCATAGTATCAAAACCATACGAAGATCTTTAATGATAACTAAACTTTAAACTCATGAAATTGACAAACCATTTAAGGCAGCAACTCTCTAAAAAACATCAAGTGCTTTACCGCTTGATACTTTTCTCTTAAATTTTGTTCCTCTTGCTGCAATCGCTTGTTATTCAGTCTCAGTTCGTCTTGGCGCTCCTGCATCTCCTTCAATCTGGCACTTCGATCTGGGAAAGACGATACACGAAGAGTAACGATAATACTATGACCGTAAGAAAGGGAATAACCAAAGAACTACAAAAAAAGGTACACTTGGCATAAGGACAGCACTTGAAAGTACTATAATTGCTAATATTTCGAAAGGTTTCATCAGATGAAAGACAGAACTTGCGGCAAATGCAGTCGAAATTGAATTATGCTCATAAAAGTGAAGGAACACAAAATAAAGGGAGACTAAAAAGTTAAAGGAAACAAACAACGATTTTACCATGGTAATAGTTCACAAATTCGCTGGTGAGAGCTAGTTGAACAAACCACTTGCGACGAACATTCATGACACCCTGACTCTGAAAGATAAAGTGATAATTCCCACGTGTCAGGAAAGGCAACACAGTTATGAACAAAATTACACTACAACTGTGGAGTTTGACCTTCCTAAACTTACTATCCAAACGTCAAACAATGCATGCACTACCCACTAACATTTCGGTAATTGTGAAGAAGAGCTCCCCAAAAAACCTGTCGGCCTTTTTTTGGGGAGCTCTTCTTCACAATTACCCATAAATGAGGCTTTCAAGCAAAAATTAATCTTTTGTTAGTGCATTAATTTAGCCTTTTGTTATAAAATCTAAACCTTGATGAGAGTATGTGAATGCTAGAATTAATAATTTCAGATAAAACTTTGTATACTATTATTTGATCCCTCAATTTCCTTTGTTTCTTAAATGTCTCTTAACCCTTTAACTCCCACATTGTAGCATTAAAATCATGACATGGAACACGCATAATGTCAAGACATTTCCAATCAATTCTTCCCACTCACTAACTGATACAGCTGTGGCTTTTACCAATATATCTCGCAATTACGCGTCAATTTCCAGTCAAAATGGCGAGATGATTACTTCTTTCCTTTCAAAAAAACAGTCCGCACTTTTAACTTGCAAAAAAAAAAAGGAATTGTTTTTTCCTTTACGCAATTCAAGAACGATTTATTGGCAAAGTAAATTTATTTAAACAATTCAACTGATATGGCTTTTCTGAGAAAGCTAACCTGGAAATCTCTTGTCAGGCTGTACATTTTCCGACAGATAAATGACATGAGCAACTTACCATAGAGATAAAATTTTGCCTTCCCAAAGTTCTGCTTTATACTGCACGAGGACTACGTTTCCTACTGCAAAGCCGTCCCGAGGAATCACTGATCGTGAGGCTTAAGCCTCCAGTTGCAGCAGATTTAATAATATATTGCCACTGTTTGACAATTCAACAACTAAATAGTTATAGCCATCTACCGGTGGCCAGTGACAAGAAGAGGAAAGAGAAAGTGTGAAAACAAAGAAACTTGATCAAATCGACCCCAGATATGTGGTTTGGGTACCACATTTATTATTTGAATCTGTAATCTTTTCAACTAGCTCTCATACAATTAAATTTTTATAACCTTTAACGTGCTTGAAGTTCTTTTTCAAGACAGTGACTTAGGTGTCCAGCAGAAATGAACATAACACGCGAACCACAACCGTTCGTGCTTCTGATTTCCTGTTTGAACTTTTTTGAATTAAATCCTCACATTTCTGCCTATTCGGCAGCACTAGAACTTGTCTTGTTGAGAATGGTCTATTTATCTCTGCGCTCAGAAGCATATTTTGATTAAACAAGTGTATGTGCCTAGGACTAACCCAAGGATCACTTTCATTTACAACCCAAGAATATTCCTAGAAAATATATCAAAAATTACATTGCTCATTTGTGTTTTGATCACCAGAAGAAATGTTAACTTTTCACTGAAAAAAGACTTGAAGTGGATATTATTTCAATTATATTTCATAATTACCTCTCTATGAATCCTTGCAAGCCTTCTTTTCAGGATCTAGAAATGAGTGATCAAATGTAGGGCTACTTGCATTAAAGAATATTCTCCAATTTTTTCCCAGTCAGGGAATCTTACAATCAAGGATTCTTACAGTCAGGGGTTCTTACAATCAGGGGTCTTACATTCAGGAATTCTTACAATCAGGGGTCTTACAATCAGAGGTTCTTACATTCAGGGGTTCTTACAATCAAGGGTTCTTACAATCAGGGGTCTTACAATCAGATGTTCTTGCAATCAGGGGTTCTTACAGTCAGACCTTACAGAATTGGACACTATATTTTAGCTATCTTAAAACTAGTTGACTGAACTATCTAAAAACTACCTATTGACTAGCTATTTCCTAAGTAGGTTCCTTGTGTAATAATTTAATCCTAATTCCTATCTCAAAGCTATCTTATCACTATCCAACAACTGGTTATTTGGAACCATGCAGATAGCTCTATCTAAATTCCATCTGAAAAGCAAGTTTGTGAAATAACTATTACATTTAGTATTAGATAGGTATTAGATCAGGTTAAACTAGTGTTTAATGCTCTAATAAGTGAGTTTTCAGCTAGATATAAAATAGATATTAGGTAGTTGCAGCAACAGCAGTTAGATATAAGACAGATAAACTAGAAATTGGAAAACATATATCAAATGTAAGAAACATTGAGACGTCCCACGCGAGACGTCCCACGCGAGAACGATTAACGTAACGAGATATATTGTTTTGTTTGTACAGTGCAGAAGTGATTTTGTTGATTGACGGACACGTGAGCCAAGTAATATAATCACATGTACATAATATACTTTGATTAGTACCTTTTCGAAGCGAAGACGAGTGTTTTATGCGGAGTTACACAGTTCAGGTTTTACGATACGAGTTGGATGTGGTAGTAAGTGCGAATCAATAAAAGTAATCAAGAAATTACGTCTCGAAGTTTACAATATCAAAATAATAGGAAACTATTCTCTGGTAGATAGCAAGTAACTACAATCAAAATAGCATTAAGCTAGAGATCGGATAGCTAAAAACTAGCAGAGAATCAGGTAGAATTATCAGCTAGTAGGAAGATAGTGTAAAACTAGGAATGAGATAGATGAAAAAAAGTAGCAATGAGATAAAACAAACTGTTATATATAGACAGCTAGCCGATATGGAACTTGAGCCTTATGCCATGCTGATAAAACGTAAAACAGCTGTCCATGCATGGCTGCCAATGCTCAGTAGATTTAAGGGGTTATGCCTGCCATCACTTTGCCATAGTACCCTTCATGAGGCTTGCAGACACATTAAATATGAGATATTTGCATCACACACAGCCACATCCCAGAAGTCTCACAAATTTAAACTGCAAAATAGCTAGTTCTTTGATTAAAACAATTTTAATTTCTTTTCAAATAAGTCAAGTCTACAATGATTGTAATTAGAAGGCAAAGAGTGATTTTGACATTGCAAATACATATGCCATTGATTATTTGGAATGTTAATCATTCAAAAGTGGTGTCACTCAGCTGCTAGAATTTTCACCACTTGATCAGTCTGCATGGCAGCCCTTCTTTCTTTTCTTCTTTGCCTTTGCTCTGTAGCAAGGAAACAAAATACACATACCGTAAGTACTCGTGTATAAGTCGAACCCATTCATAATTCGACCCCCCATTTTTTTAAAAATCGGATTTTTCATTATTTCTAGTCAAAGAAGTAAAATTCAGACAGATAGAAATTTCCCAAAAGTTAATCTCTTATTTCTGGGTACGTACTGAAAACACGGGGAATTGAAAAACTGCAGAGCAAAATGCGGTAAAATTTCCGGGAGAGTTGAAAGGACTGACCCCCGCTCCGCGGACTACCCTAAATAATCAACCAAATTTACTTTTACGGGGGAAGAGACACAAGCCTACCTGCTCAACCTGCACGATCAAAACAGCCGCCATTTTCTTTTCACCGACTTCCTCGGAAAGCGCACTCCGACATCCGTCAGAAGGAGGTCATCTCGGGTAGATTTCCGATTACGAAATCCGAGCTCGCCCGATGTTGTCTTAATGATGAAGGCCCTATTTAGCATATTAGACCCGCAAAACAGAGTAGAAACGAATGCGTGCTTCATTTTCGCTCATGACTTCGTATTAGCCTTAAGATATTTGCATTTTTTTCCGTTGCTTACCTATATTATAGACTCCAATAAATTTTTGCGATGCCTCCTTTTCACGGATGGCCGATTACAACTACAACATAGTAACACCTCCACGAAATCTGTCAAAAGGAGGATGTTACAATAGATCGTTTTCACGTGACGTCACATCATTTCCGGTCGGCCATATTGGTGTACCACTTTCGATTGCGTAATCCCCGTAATTTTTCCACAACGATCATTCCCACAAGTAAAATGGATTCAAAAGAGAAAGAAAAAGAGTCCCAGAACAAAAGCGAGGTCGACTATTCTTTTCCGATATCCGAATACGCGAAGCAGCTGGATTTTCCAGTCAGAGATCGATATTTACAGAAAATAGCGGCAATTGGAATTGATCCAGTTTTGGTCGAAGGGAAGGACTTTAAGCCGGACTGTTTGCCTCCTGTTGAATCCACAGATATTTTGTGTTATCTTGTCTTGGAGACAAGTTTCTACTCTCAGAAACAGTTTAAAGCTTTCCGAAGTCTTGAAGCATATAACCAAATGGTCTCTGGTTTTATCGCAAGCGTGCAAGGCCACATAATCGCCGACAAGTTTCTTGTTTTAGCAAAGGTGAGTCATTCCCAGCGTATGAACGACTCTCTTATTTCATGTTGGGTTATCACGGAAAGAGAAGGAACAATTTTGTTTGCACACTGCTTAGGTTGCAAGGCTGGCCTGGCAGAAACCTGTTCGCATATAGCAAGCGTGCTATTTTATCTGGGAGCGTGGACAAAAATAAATGGCAGACTTGCCTGCACGCAAGTGAAGTGCTCGTGGCTTTTACCTACCTACGTCAAACAAGTAGAATATGAAAAGGTGCGAGAAATAAACTTTACATCCGCAAGGAAAATGAAAAACGATTTAGATGCCAAGATTGAGAACCTCTCCAATGTTTCCAGCCCTGATAACTCTGCTAAAGGAAACGTGTCAAAGGAGATCCCTGTTCCCTCAAAACCGGAAATGGATACCTTTTATGCTAAACTTAGTAAGTCTAGTAGCAAGCCCATCGCTCTAAGCTTAATACCCGAGTATGCAGACAGCTATATCCTCAAAAGTCGCTGCGTACCTACAATTAGCGATCTGTTTGATAAGAAGTACCTCGCTCTGAGTTATCCTGAGTTATTAAAAGCTTGTCAAGAAGTAGATATTGAGATTACAAAAGAACAAATCTTACAAGTTGAGAGAGATACTGTCGCACAAGCGAAGGGTAACAGTTTCTTCAGACATAGAGCTGGAAGAATCGGGGCCTCCCAGAGTAAGGCTGCTTGTCAGACAAATCCAGCCATGCCATCCCAGTCACTCATTC